CTCGCTGCGAACAGCTCTTAACGCTGTAGCCCCCCTAAAGAAGAAAATTCTTAAACAAAGACGGTTAGCTCCATGGTATACTAGTGAAACCCGCAAATTAAAGCAGATATCTCGGAAACTTGAGAAGAACTGGCGTTCAACCAAGCTGGAAAAGTCTCGTTTATCTTGGCAAGATAGTCTTAAAGCTTATAGGAAGGCCCTCCGTGATGCCAAAGCAGCATATTACTCGTCTTTAATTGAGGAAAATAGGAACAATCCCAGGTTTCTTTTCAGCACTGTTGCCAGGCTGACTGAGAGCCACAGCTCTATTGAATCAAGTATTCCAATAGCTCTCACTAGCCATGACTTCATGAGCTTCTTTAACGATAAAATTCTAGCTATCAGGAACAAAATCCACCAAGACTTGCCCTCAACTAGCATCGACTTATCTTTAAACTCAGTAACTGTAGGACCAGAACCAGTTATATGTTTTGACTGTTTTGCTTCCCTCAATCTTTGTCAACTAACTTCAATCATTTCTTCATCCAAACCTTCAACTTGCCTCTTGGATCCCATCCCGACTAGGTTGCTTAAAGAAGTCCTACCCTTAGTCGGTACTTCTCTGCTAGACGTGATCAATCTGTCCTTATTAACAGGCTATGTGCCACAGTACTTTAAAGTTGCTGTAATTAAGCCTCTTTTGAAAAAGCCTAACCTGGACCCAGATGTTTTAGCCAACTATAGACCTATATCCAACCTTCCATTCATCTCCAAGGTCCTGGAGAAAGCAGTAGCCAAACAGCTGTGTGACTATCTACATAGCAATAGCTTGTTTGAGGATTTTCAGTCAGGATTTAGAGCTCACCATAGCACAGAGACCGCACTGGTGAAAATTACTAATGACCTCCTAATGGCATCAGACAAAGGACTCGTCTCTGTCTTGGTTTTATTAGATCTTAGTGCTGCTTTTGACACCATTGACCATCAGATCCTACTACAGAGACTGGAACATTTCATCGGAATTAAAGGAGCCGTTCTAAGTTGGTTTAGGTCCTATTTATCAGATCGGTTTCAGTTTGTGCATGTTAACGATGAGTCCTCCATGCATGCCAGAGTTAGCCACGGAGTTCCGCAAGGATCCGTTCTCGGACCAATCCTCTTTACTTTATATATGCTTCCTTTAGGTAATATTATCAGGAAACACTCTATCAACTTTCATTGCTATGCAGATGATACTCAGTTATACCTATCGATCAAGCCAGATGAAACTCATCAGCTAGCTAAGCTTCAAATGTGCCTTCAGGATGTTAAAACCTGGATGACCTGCAATTTTCTAATGTTAAACTCAGCTAAAACTGAAGTTATTGTTCTAGGGCTTAAACACCTTCGTGACGCATTATCTAGAGATATAGTTTCCCTGGATGGCATCGCCCTGGCCTCCAGCACCACTGTGAGAAATCTTGGAGTTATCTTCGATCAGGACATGTCGTTTAACTCTCACATTAAGCAAATTTCAAGAACCGCCTTCTTTCACCTTCGTAATATTGCAAAAATTAGGAGCATCCTGTGTAAAAATGATGCAGAAAAACTAGTCCATGCATTTGTTACTTCTAGGCTGGATTACTGCAATTCCTTGTTATCAGGGTCTTCAAAAAAGTCCATTAGGACTCTTCAGCTGATCCAGAATGCTGCAGCACGTGTTCTTACAGGAACCAGAAAAAGAGATCATATTTCTCCTGTCTTGGCTTCTTTGCACTGGCTTCCTGTTAAATCCAGAATAGAATTTAAAATCCTTCTCCTTACGTATAAAGCTCTTCATGGTCAGGCCCCATCTTATCTTAAAGAGCTTTTAGTACCTTACTGCCCTACCAGAGAACTGCGCTCCCAGAATGAAGGGTTACTGGCAGTTCCTAGAGTCTTGAAAACTAGAATGGGCGCTAGAGCGTTCGGCTATCAGAGTCCTCTTTTGTGGAACCAGGTTCCAGTTTGGGTCCGGGAAGCAGACACCGTCTCTATATTTAAGAGTAGGCTTAAGACTTTCCTTTATGATAGAGCTTATAGTTAGAGTAAGTCCACCCCTGGTTGTGCTGCTATAGGCCTAGACTGCCGGGGGATGCATCATGATGCACCGAGCTCCCCTTTCCTTTCTCTCTCTCCCTCCCGGTGCAACCTCATTCCATTAACAATGTTACTAACTGGACTCTCTCCCTTCCCCGTAGTCGTGTGCTTTCTCGTCCCCCTTCTCTCTTCTCTCTCTTCCTAACACTTTCTGCAGATATTCCTGGCTCTGGAGCTGTGGGGTCTGGATCTGTGGTTGGGAGTCTCCTCCTATCACTTCCTGCAGGTGTTCCTAGAGCTGTGGAGTCTGGATCTGTGGTTGGGAGTTTCCTGCTGCCCCCATGTTCCTGCTCATCATTAGCATTAATATCATTGCCATTTTTAATCTATTCTACGTGTTGCTGTGTTGGCTGCCCCTCTCTGCTCCTTCTGTCCTTCTCTCGCCCTCTCTCTCTCTCTTGCTCTCTCTTTCCCCTCACCCCCAACCGGCCGAGGCAGATGGCCGCCCACCCTGAGCCATGGTTCTGCTCAAGGTTTCTGCCTGTTAAAAGGAAGTTTTTCCTTGCCTGTGTCGCCTAGTGCTTGCTCATGGTGGGAATTGTTGGGTTTCTGTAGTTAACTTCAGAGTAGGGTCTGACCTGCTCTGTTTGGAAAGCGCTGTGAGACAACTGTTGTTGTGATGTGGCGCTATATAAATAAAATTGAATTGAATTGAATTGAATTGAAATTAATAACAATTCTGCAGCAATGATGGTTGAAAAAAACATTGAAAGCTGTTGCTACTAATTCCTACAAGTGTTCCAACTTTTCTTGATTAGATATAACCCCCTCTGTCTGCATTAAAGCAGTGTTTGAACACATTGTTGTACAGTATGATGAGAAAAAAGCTATTAATGTAAGAGATACAGACCATTATAACACTTTAAAATATTGGTCTTTCCGCCAGGGAAATTGCAAAGAACCCAAAGGTTTCAGTGAGTACAGTTTAATGAATCCTAATTTCAAATCTATGCACCTAGTTGGTCAGAGGTTTGTCCAACAGAAAGATAATGACCCAAAACACAAGTCCAAGCTATGCCAAAACAACCTCAGGAAAAGAGAAAAAGATGGTGAGCTAGAACGGAGTGGCCAGCACAGTCCCAAGATTTAAACCCAATTTAGCAGGTTTGGGATGCACTGGACAGAAGAGTGAAAGCCAGGAAACCCACAAGTCCCTCATATTTATGGGAACTTCTGCAAAAGACGTGGGGAAAGCTATCTGAGGAATGACCGAGTTATATTGTTGAAAGAATTCCACAAGCGTGTTCAACAGGTATATCTACCAAGGGTGACTACTTTGATGAGTCAAAAGTTTAGAATACATTCATTCCATGTTTTTTTTTCAACACAAATTGCTTATTTTTTCTATTTTTTCAGTTCTGGGTGCAGTGACACAAAAATGGGAAAAATGTGGTGTTCTAAAACTGGACTGGAGGATTAGTTTGACATAAAGTCTAAGATATAAAAATTAATTTAACTGGACAAACGGCATGCAAGCTCTGCTCTAGCTTAATCTCACCTACAAAGAGCCTGCATTCCCTGGTGTGGTTCACAGTTTTTTTCTTTGGCTGCTAACACCCCATTGTATTGGATTTAATGCAACCGAGTCTCATTAGGGCGTGGTGTTCAGTGTCACCTAACAGCAATAGGATTCTTGCTGGGGAATCTGGGGCTTTATGTGTGGGAATTACATGTTCTCCCGATGTCTGCATGCAGGTTCCCCCTGGGTACTATGGCTTCCTCCCACAGTCCAAAAACATGTCTATAAACGGTGGAAAATGGATGGATGGATATACACACACACACACAAACATGGATTGTGATGGCTGTGGCAGGATCTTCTGTAGCAGTCCGTTTTACAATCAATCTGAAGAAGCCTCTGACTGAAGCAAATCTGTTTTCCAATTACAGTATCCTAAAGAAGATGGTCAGGGTTGGCCATCATTTTTTTGATTTTATGGAAAATCCTTCTCCAAATGTCCCACGGTTGTCCCCAGAACAGAAACAACCTTCTTGATCAGGTTATTGAGCCTTTTTATTTATTTACTCATTTATTGACATGGCTTTTAACATTTTAACCTTAGGTTGAGGTAGAGCACCTTTTTACCTTTTTATTTATTTATTTATTTAAAAAAAAAAAATCATTTTATTTATTTATTTATTTTTACATTAAAATTTCATATACATGTAAATCATGTTCGCTTTTTATGTATATTTTTTACCTGTACAGCACTTTGGCAACTTTGGTTATTTTAAATGTGGTCTATAAATAAAGTTTGACTTGACTTGACTTTTTAGGTCTCTAGCTCTAATGCTGGTGCCCCAACAGATGACAACAGACGACGATGATGATGATCTACTTCGTTGATTTAAAAAACAGCCTCTTGCGTGTGCTACCCATATGTTTGCGTAGTGCGCACGCGATTGCACCTCCGAATCTAAAGTGCCGTGTCAGTTTTAACACTAGAACTACCACGGAGGGGTCAATTGACCTTTTTACCTAAAAGCCCCACAAGAGGGTCATTTGACCCTTTGAACCTCCTGCGGACACTCCTTTTGTTGTGGAAATGTGGCTGTTAGCAGCTCATAGCTGTCACTTGAGTCACAGAGTCGCTTGAGCCTGTGTGGGGAAGGGAACCCCAAGGCAAGCTTTTAGTATAGTTTTTTAGTGGATTTTTATGCAGTGAATCATCAGGATCAACGAGAATTTGGGATCAAAACTCTAAACATTTATTGTTAAAAAAAATACAAAACAAAACATATTTACAATGAATGCAAAAGCAACTGTTTTCCCAGTTTTCGTGTGGAAGGTTGTGGCACAAGTAACTTATTTTTGTGTGCCAAAAATAGAAGAAAAAGAAATTACAAAGAAAAAAACCATATTTACAAAGAATGCAAATGAGTGAAATACATTTGAGCAGTCACTAACAATTCTGGCACTGCCATTGCTCCTTTCGGCATTTCCCACATGTGTATTTGTAACAGTCATCACAGCGCACTGTTGCACGATTGCCCTTGCATTTGATTTTAGCCTGACACTTGGCTCTTTGTCCGAGTTGTGGTGTGGAGGGTTGTTGCCGAAGCAATTGCTCCTTTTGAGCCTTTTTCATATCCACGTGGGAGTGAGCCAACTCTCTTGCCAGTTCAAACAGGAAATCCACCCGTCTTTCCTTTCTCCCGGTGCATAATTGATAGAGCACGTGGGCATTCAGTGCTGCAATGTCTATCATGTTGTAGAACACTGCTACTGGCCAGCGCCTTGTTCCTGCGCGGACAATGTATTCCCGCACCATCTGGTCCATGATATCGACGCCGCACTTTGTTGTGTTGTAGAGTGTGATGGTGTTTGAATTCTTTTTGGTGGTTTTCTGTGTCTCAATCGTGCTGTGCATGCTGCTGAGAACATACACAGTCTTCTTCCGCTTGGGCGCATACGCAGTCAGTGTGGCACCAGTGGATGAAAATACCTGGGTGGTAAATTCATCGCGGTGCATCTGTCGAGTTGACGGTGGGATTTCTTGGCGAATCCCGTTGACTGTGCCGAGGATGGTTGAATTCCAGCTAAGTAGTCGTTTTGCAAGTGACAGTGATGTAAAGAAATTGTCTGTGGTAACATTTCTGCCCTTATCCAAGAATGGTTCCATCAGCCTCATGACTACACTCTCAGACACTCTCTCCCCACAAGGCCGAGTGGGGTCCTTGCCAAGGTATGGGAGGATGTTGCAGACATTTGGTTTTCAAGTCACACGCCACCCAAAACTTGATACCAAACTTGTCTGGTTTAGTTGCAATGTACTGTAGGAAACAGCAGCGAGTCTTGCACGGGAAAAGTTGTTTGTAAATGGTGATGTGTTGACCAGGAATGTAGGATGTGATGCAGTTGGTGACAAACAATCCCCATATGTTTGAAATTGCAGCAAACCTATCAGTCTGTACTCGCTCACTGCGGGGGTCTCTGTCATCAAAGCGCAGGTGATGCATGATGTTTTGGAAACGGCCTCGGGACATGGTTTCGATGATGTGTGGGCTTCCCAGGTTTTTCGACCAACAGTCAGGCAGTGATGGCACCTTGAAGATTCCCCTCATGATGGTGATGGAAATAAATGCCATTAGTTCAGGTATGCCCATGAACCAATCCACATGCTCAGTTTGCTTTGCATGTTGAATTGTACAGTCTCAAATGATGCCAAGCATGTCCAGAGTGATGAAACAAAGGAAGCTCTGAAGGCGACTTGTGATTGACCTCCTTGATTGACCTCCGCCTTAGCTGTTGGCTCTCCATCTGCGCTGTATGGCGATGGTAGGGTGAAATGTGGACCCGTTCCCACCTGTTCTTCATGCCATACTGTGCCATCTTTTGCAGTCTCTGTCACATCAGTCGCCAGCCGAGCTCTCTTTGTTGGTTGGGGAGCACTCTCCTCATCTGTAGCGTGAAAAAAATTTAATTATGAGCAATGGGAAATTCAAATGATATCACAAATGCAAGTATAGAAGCTAATCACAGCAAAAATTGTTTATTTTTCTAGTTTCAAGTAATGTAGTAAAAATCACCTTGGAACTAGTATTTTTCAACTAGAAATAAAAACCTCAAATTAGACTATTTTTACTTGTTTTAAGAAATTTGCCGATGGGGCAAGCTTTTTTTTTACTAGGTTAGCAATATTTGCTAGCCAAATTTGCATGGCAAAATTTGCTAGGCAAACAACATTTGCTTGAAATGAGTAAATCAAGCTAGTAAAAAAAATATTAGCTAGCAAAAAAGCTTGCCCCATTGGCAGATGTCAAAATAGTCTAGTTTTTAGGTTCTTATTTCTAGTAAAAAAAAAAAAACTAGTTCTGAGGTGATTTACTCCCTCACTGAAATGAAATGTAAAATGGGAAATAATATGAAAAGAAATATTACCTGAAGACAACTGAGACAGCTCGGAGTCTGAATCCACCTGTAGATTGATGTCTTCTCCATCTGATTCGCAAGGGTCAGCTCCATTCAGGATAATTTCCAATGCCTGTTGAGTGCAGTATCTCTGCATCTTCGTTCCTTGGAGAGGAGCTTCTTTCATCACAAAATTCTTGAGGGAAATGAAGCAGTAGTCCACATGCACTATGGTATTCGGTATATGGTATTTATCAGGCGATCCGATACGTCGTTTGAATGGTGTGCAGTGCAGACTCCGCCCACTCGACGCGTCACCGTTTGCGCAGGCGTGGTAAGGACCCACTGACTACTGTGCCACGTTTCACTAAATGACGTAATTCATCCTGTAAGGCTTGACAGCTTGCTGTTGCAGTAACGACATACACTTAGCGACGGCAAAGAAAGAAGCTGGAGACTTTCACACATCTAGCTATATCCCCGTTTCTTCGTTTTTGTTTCAGATTGAAGAAAAAGTTACCAGTTTGTTGAAATATATTGAGTGAACTTAGGCTAGGCTAGTCATTTTACGTTTACTTTGCTTACCAGTTGGCTAATGTCAGCCGTTTCCTGGTTGAGGTTGCAGCCATTTTGGAATTTGACTGAGAAAATAGCTAGCCGGCCGTGGTTTGGGGAGCAGTGCAAGCTAGTATTCGTCTCAATTTTCAGAAGTAAACAAGGCACTTTACTCGTGGACGGAGAAAAAGACACATCTGAAAGGAGAAGATACACTGTACAACAATTCAACAATGAATCCCGAATAGTAAGTATCATACTTGTTAAGGCTTAAACACAATTGAGATTAGCTATTTGCTAATCAGGATTGGCAAATTTCTTAATAATAGCAGCTCAACCAAGTAAACGAAGAATATCAGCTGACCTAAACCTTCATGGAAACCTGTGATACTATGAACATAATCAAAGGTCACTACTAAAATGGTGAATTTCAAAGCCTAAAGTATCGATTTGGAATCGTAAGTTAAAGCCTGCTACCCACAGTAACCTTGTTAACCAATTGTTAGGGAACCATCGGTGACAACGTCTAAGATTTTATTGCATTTCACGGTGAGATGTAAATATATAGGACAAAGGTTCCTTGTTGAGTGGACAGATAACTTCAACGTTAATTCTTAAACAGATCGTCTTCATTCGTCGAAAGACGTCGATACTACGTGTGTAGCTTATAATTAGCTAACGGGATTAATTAACATTTTTACGAAAATGATTTCGAGGTTTTGATGAAAATGTGTTTCCGGTGATACATTTTTACCGTCTAATACTAGTTCATTTGCTTGCTAGAGTTATCAAGCCGGTTTTTTTTAGTTGCGGTCTTCAGATATTTACGTTAAACAACTGGTTTTACGGAGTACCTGACATCATGGATGACTCGGTTTTCAGTCATATGGTGTTGTAGAGCTGAAACAGCCTTCTACAGCTGTCATGTGTTGGTCACATGCCACGGGACAGGTCCTCTATTTCGACACGGCTACATTGAGTAATGCGTTTTTTTTTTCATTTGTCCTTCTTTGGTTTTTCATTCATGGTGCAATTTTTTTTTTACTGGTGTTTCATAACTTGTCAAACAGCTGTATGCAAATTTTTTCCTCTTAGTAACACATTTTCATTCCATTTTCTTCAGTAGATAGAGTGATCTAACATTAAAAACTTTATTTTTCATAATAATGAAGATGTATCTCGACAGTGTATGTTATCCAATTAAGGTATATCTCTAAAAACATATCATCTAACTAATTTGGACTGTATACTGTTGTTTTGAATATTTTTTTGCAAAGTTTTCTGTGAGAAACCCATATAACACGGAGTTATTCAAGCAAACCCTTAGTCTGATTTGGAGCCATTTTGTTTGTTGTTCTTGTTGCCGTTTGGTTTTGGACATCTTGTCAAAGTTTTGTGAACCTGTGAGCAATCTGCATTGCACTGGGGAAACATGTCAGGCACAGTTATACTTGACAGGTTAGATTACAGTCTCAGAAGCTAGTTCAATGGAAACCGAATTTGTCCAAAACCCACATACATGGTTAACAAATGTATATTGTCATTGAGAAGTTTTACTTGGTAACCACTATGGAGGTATTTGCCAACTAAGCTTGAATAGTTTCTTTTATCTTTTTCCTAACTCACCTCTCAAACTATTTGAAAGTTTATCTTACACCAAGCTCTTGCTAAAAATGATCCAATTTTAATATATCGGCCTGTTTTTCAATGGTAAATTTAACGTCGTTATCATATCAAGGCTTTGGAAACCAACTTTTAAGATGTGAGTTTTTGGGGAGCTGTGGGAGCTTATGCCGATAACATAACAGCTCTGTCAAAGCAGCCAAAATTAAACTCAGGACTTGGTTTGGAATGTAAAGCCTCTGACAAAAACATACTTTATTCAAAGAAACATAAGAGGAAAGAATTTTTTTTTTCTTTTGCTTCTTTTTAGTTGGTTTCATTTGTCTGATCACATGATCAACTAGCTTTGAGTTTCCCTCTGAAAATGTCACCAAGCTATATTAGGTTCCTAATCCTGAATATTTGCCTTCCTTTGTAAAATATACACTTTGTAAACTAGTTTGAAAAAGCAAACTTACTGACGTTTGTATTATATTAAACAGACTTGGAAGTTGAAAGGCTCATCAAGCAAGTGTAATATCCCAAATTCTACCTGTTTTCACACTGTGCCAGCCATCATGAACTGTGTTCAGTCCACTATGTGAATAAAATCTAAGACTTTCTCCCCCTTTGCAGTGACTATTTATTCAAACTGCTGCTGATTGGTGACTCTGGTGTTGGAAAGTCTTGCCTTCTGCTCCGATTTGCAGTAAGTTTCCCCAGAGTAGCTCAAACAGTAACATCCTATTAGCTTAGTTTTCATAAAACAGACTTGTTTTTTTTAGATAGATGACATCTTGACTTTCATGTATTCTTGCCTCTCGTAACCTGGCGCCAGCCTAGTTAGCTCAACCTTTTCTCCTTTTCAAACATGTGAACTGTGTATTATTACTGTATCAATGCAAATTCTTCTCCCAGAAGTTAGGATTCTGCTTGTACTATGTTTTTTCTTTTCTGTCCATTAGAGCATTCTTAAGCAGGAAGTGAACAGGATGTTGGAGCCAACTAACTGACTTAATTTTTGTCTGCAGGATGATACATACACAGAAAGTTACATTAGCACTATTGGAGTGGACTTTAAAATACGAACCATAGAACTAGATGGGAAAACCATTAAACTTCAGATTGTAAGTAAAATATAGTTTATCATGTGAATTATTTTTGTGTCATATTGTCATCAGTGTGCAAAGGGCTTCTTTTTAAACTTTAAACAAGTTCAACCTGAAACATTAAAATAGTGGTTTATTATTGTTCTATTTATGTTTCTTTTTCACAAACACTACATACAGATATGAACCAGCTATCCATTTTAGAGTCAATACACTTTACCTAATGAGTGTACAGTTAGGGTTTTTGAGGAATTGTGTAAAAAGATCTACAAGGCACAGTGTATAGGGACCTATAGTAGCATACTTTTAATGTCTTGGATTTGCTTTGTGTCTTCTATGTACAGAATATCTGTCTGTTCCACAGCAATTTAAGCAAATACAATAATTAGAAAAAGGTATTTGTCTATAGTACCTGTGGATATGTACAAATAACCAAAGTATAAACAGGCATGCATTTACTCTTCTTGTCTGACATATCCGGACACAAAATTTGATTAATCTTTTGTGAAGTAAATCTTTCAAAACAGTTTACCTATATTTATTTTATTTTCTGTGACTTGAAAGACTAAAGCTTCTTTTCAGCACGCAGAAATATTAAGGATGGTAGGATTTATGTTACGTTCAGTTGAATTATCATAAGAAACATCTCATTCAGTGCAGTTGTAGATTTTTTTTTGTGGTTTTAATTAATGATTGGTTTGAGGATATATATGGGATTTTAGAATAGAGCTGAATTTATAGAAAATCTATAGCCCTTTTTATAATTATGAATATTGAAGGAAAGAGTGAATCAAAGCAATCAAGAAAAATTTGATATTAGATTGAGGTCACATGTTTCAATAGAGACTTGTAATGAATTTTTGTCGTTTCAATTTTTTTAATTTGTATTTTTGCAAAATTCTGTTGTTTAAAGTGAAATAAAAACAATTGTCAACAATCATAATCAAATTGAATTGCAACACTTCCTAACCAGCGTAAGTGTACAGTCATTTATCAGTTGATTTAGTCCATTTCTTTTTACAGTGGGATACAGCAGGACAGGAGAGATTTCGCACAATTACATCCAGCTACTACAGAGGTGCACATGGTATCATTGTTGTCTACGATGTCACAGACCAGGTCAGTTTGCACAAAACCCTATAGTATACTAGAAGAGGAAATTATGCCCATAGAGGGCCTATCAAAGTGTTTCACTATTGAACTTTTTGAATGGTGCAGTTAATTCTTTTGTAATCTCAATGGTTAATTGACAGTTTTTAGAAAGAGTTTATTTTTTTGTTTGGAAGAAACTGAGATGGAAATTCAGAAAAGGTGTCTATCTTATTCATGTAGGTAGATATCACTAATGTTATAAAAGCCAATTTTATTATTGTGGCAGAAGTGGCATGGACACAGATGCCAAACAAATGTGTTACTTTAAAATCAGCTGTTCTTTTAACATAACTTTTTCCAGTATAATTAGTCAAAAGTACCTACTCTGGAAGGTACTTTGCTGGGTTTTAGGCTCTTTTTGGGACTGGTCTCTGTTTCTTTGAGCCAGCTCCATCCCCACTTGATATAAGAAGTCTGATTTTTATTTTCATTTGAAAAAAATTTATTTATACAATTCTGTTTTTTTATTTGAGGAAGTACCATATGTTTCTTTGCAGGAGAGATGTCCTCAAAAAGCATAACTGGTTTAGTTTGTTTTAAAAGCGTTGTCTATTCCATACTTTAGGAGTCCTTCAACAATGTCAAGCAGTGGCTACAAGAGATTGACCGCTATGCCAGTGAAAATGTCAACAAGTTGTTGGTTGGAAACAAGTGTGACCTGACTACGAAGAAAGTGGTGGATTACACAACAGCAAAGGTATGGCACAGTTTGTACCGCCTTCAGGAATCTGTAGAGAGGAATCAGAACTGTTTTCTGTCACGTGGCTTGATTTGAAAATACAGTTTTTTTCATAAAACAGTTGATTATATCCAATGATTACATTCTGCCTTAATGTGGGTGTAAAAAAGTTGTTCGACCAGCACATCCCGCCATGACTGGTCACTCTTCGATTGCTTGTTTGCTTTGTACTTGAAAAGTTAGGATGTTAGCGTCACCCCTGCTCCTTAAAAAAGCAACTTCTGCTCATGTTACACTGAATCAGCTGAGTGACGTTAGTTTTGTTCAGACTTGACCAGGAAGTCCGGCAGGTTGTGTGTTCAAATATGGAAAATCAGCATTTTTTGCATCAGAGGCTGACTGTTGATATTCATAAGCTTTGGTGGAACAGTTTGCATGTTATTGGTACATTTAATTGTTTTTTTTTAAAACACAGTGAAACTGGTTGGACATGATTTGTTATATTGGCTTTTAATTTGTCTGATTTTCATGTAATGTGGCCCCCTGAGTTTAATAGTATATTTGATTTTTGCTGAGATGTCCATTCCTAGAGGGAAAAAACAGTTTGATTAATTGAGAATGCAGTTGATTGCTATGTTCAGTTTGCTGCATCATCATTGCAGATATTATGCTGTCAGTGGCGATGAATCAAAATTATGATTACTAGTCTTGTTTTATGGGTTTTACTGTGAAGGTACTTAACCTTAAATGACTAAATATGAAGTGATGCAGTGTCATTAGTACCAAAACCTTATCATGTCAATTTTTCTGATATCTCAAACTCCAAGGGAAGATTTTGGATGAGGACAAATAGATTTTCAGCCCCCCTGCCCGAAGGTAGCATTTATTTATCCTGTGGTCTCTCGTTTCTGACGAAAACGCACAACTCCAATTCTGTTTTCCAGGAGTTTGCTGACTCCCTGGGAATACCCTTTTTGGAAACCAGTGCTAAAAACGCCACAAACGTGGAGCAGGCCTTTATGACCATGGCGGCTGAAATCAAAAAGAGAATGGGCCCGGGAGCCACGGCCGGGGGAGGGGAGAAGCCCAACGTCAAGCTCACCCCAGGCACTTCCGTCAAGACTTCATCAGGAGGATGCTGCTGAGAGAGAGAGTCCAAACAATCTCCACCCCACCACACTCACCGAAAAAAAAAAAGAAGAAAAAAAAAAAAAAAAAGAAAACTCCACTGTGTCCCAATGAAGCCCAAACATAACAGACAGGACAGGGAAGACACGATTCATGTATATGAGAACAAGATGAAGTTGCCTGTATTTGTACTGTATATAATGTAGCCGCACTACCAAAAACAATTAAAGCATCCTTCTTGTCTTACTGTCCTGTTTATTGAAAACAAGTTCCATTAATGGGTGATCATTTGATTTAAGCCTGACTCCTTATCATGCCCTTTATCAGACATCCCAGTGACTTTTATTTGGCCCTCTGTATACCGGTTCATGAGAATCGTTTGTATGTGTGTGTTTGTTTGAATGTGCCTGTTTCTCTGCATTCCTATAGCAGGGTTGGTAAATGAATCGGTTTAATTAAGGTTTCTGTTTGTATGAACCTTTTTCTGCTTTTTTTTTTTTTGTTCAGTGATTTTTTTTTTTTTTTTTTTGCTGAGTTTTCAGCATGTCTGTCAGTCTGTTCCCTTTTGAGGGTCTTTTTACTTTTTCTTACCAACCTCTGCAAAATATTGTCTCAGCTGTTCTAAAAGTCTAGTACAACAATATATGTACATAAACATGATGTATATATATGTACAATCTGCCAGTTCTATTGTGATTAATACATCATTAAATTGGTCTTTACTCTTAATCTCTGCATTAAATTTGTGGCTCAACATGTAACACTTAAACTGAAAATAAATGTACTACTAGACCATATGACATGGGGGGTATTCTTGATGACGTGTAGAAATCCTGTTTGACTTATTTATTAAACAGATGTGGCGTATGTTTTACCTGTTTAAATGGGCTCTGCAATTTGCTTTATGTAACCCGGGTGCATAATTGCAAATACAGTGTTTTGTTTTCATAATAAAGGCATATGAATTCAGTTTAAATTGAGCTCTGACACCAGTGTTCACTGCATGGACAAGAACATTAGTACAGGGCGCCATCACGCAGCTCCACATGAATGATGAAAATAGTGGCCGTAGATGAACATATTTAGAAGTTAACGCCAGTCTGCTAGTGCTGCAGAAACTACCTCTAGTTTTTCATGGAACGTAAGAAAATATGCAGTTCACTGGCACAACACTATCTTAGACAAGAGGAAGTGTCTGAAGCAATTCCTCCTTAAATACGATTTTGACCAAGTGGGGAATTGTCTATCGTCATCTATACAATTTTTTTGTCATCCAGGAAAACTTAATACAGGAAGAGAAAGAAGCTGTATTTATATTTGACATGAGAATGGTCTGTCAAATCTTTATAAAGAAAAAGATAAATGTTTTAGAACCCGACAACACTGAGGCAAACATACACACAATCATTTGTAGAGACAGTTTATTATGATAAACCAAGAAGACAGGATTTAGACAGGGGGAGAACATGCAAACTCTGCACAGAAAGACCCCCAATGCCCAGAGGATTCGAACTGGGAACTCTCTGGCTATAAAGCAGCAATGCTAACTACTACATCACTGTGCCTGCTACTTAGTAATGAACAATATTTAGCAATCACAATGAAATCTGATGAAATTCAGTTAGACCTTATGTAGTTTCAGTTACTTACAAATTTGATGAAACTACATTTTTCACCCTGAATTAGATAAATCAGTGTTTACCTAAACATATATTGGAACAACTGTGCTCCAAAAACAGTTGGTATTTTTGGATTACCATTGTTTTACATGTTAAACACACATGTTGGAAATGTGGTAATGACATTGCTAAATATCTTTGTGTATTTTCAGAGTATCCCTATGTGTTTCCTATCTGTACTGAAGTGATTTCAAATTTGGAAAAGTGGACTGGACTACCCACACTTAAATCATCGCAAATATGTCTATTGGGACATAAATATGGCGTGCCCCCAACATTTATTACAGACTGCTTTGTTGGAATAACGAATCTTTAAGATAAACAACGTCCAGGTTAAAACAAATAAAAATTGAGTTGTTTTTATGGTCTATCAGTGTGACAGAGTGACAAAGACACTATCTTACAATCAGATCATGACATTGCTACTTTAGTATAAAAATATTGGTTATTAAACTTTTTAAAAAATTGTCTTTGTGTTTTTTCTTTGTATATTGGTGTGGAAAAAGAGAATTCAATAAGAGCTTAAATGACAAAAAAGTACATATGTTATATCCATAACCTGTTTGCTTTGTTGCAGCAGCAATGAAGCTTAATTAAGATTATCTAAACATCCTTAAAAATTGTTGCTGCATAACTTTGGAGTTGGAACTTGTGAGGGACTGAATCCAATGCAGAACATAATCATGATTCATCTTCTTTGGCTGCTTTCCCATCACACTCCCAAGATTTTTTATACAATTTAAAAAGCTGAATAATTAATTTACTTTCAGAATAAGAAAAATATAAGCAACATTTTGTGTCCAGCATTGCAATTCATTTTACACCACTTTGAATTATAGCAATTTCAATTTATTTATTTTTCTCTTTGTATTGTATGTGTTTTCCTCTTTCTGAACAATACTGTGTCATGCTTCTATGAATATATGAAGGTTGTGTATTTATTTGGCCGGGCAGCCTTTCTTTGGGTCTATTTAAAAAGTCACTGTTGACAATCACTCAGCTTTTTAAACATTGCAATGAATTTAATAGCTGATATCTTTTTGTAATGTCCTGTTGGGAGGGGGTCTGTTTTAATGGTGGAAATATGTAGCTCCACCTTACAGGTTATTTAACTCAGATACTCTCAGTCGCGGGAATCAACAGGAAGGATGTGTCCACTTAAGGGGGGGATATTTGCTTTTTAAAGCTATTCTTTGTTAATATAAATTTGTAGAATCTCTATGGAAATAATTGTGTTAATATTATCATACTCATATTCTACATATTTCCCTTTACACATGGATTTCAAAATAACAGATGTAACTAACGATTAAATGAAAACTTCAACCCCTTTCTGGTGATAATAGTTTGGTCTTAACTGGCGCGAAATAGAGAAGCTCCGCCTGTTGTATAAGTCACATCAGCATCAAGTAACCCGTAATTATGCACTTTGCAAGGGAAGTTTCGCCGTTTTGCATTCAAAATAAAAGATTTCCGGAAATTCTCTGGCGGGCGTTACTGGGAAACATCACATAAATACCTTAATTTTGAAATAAAACTGACGGATGTACACACTCTTATTACTGATTATTTGTGGGAGTATGCAGCGTGTTCTCGGACAGGTTACAGTTTGATATCAAGGCAGAGACGTGTAACCTAAGTACAATTTTTGTTGTTATTGTACTTTTAAGGGTGTCTTAATGCGATATTGCACACTTTGGGTTTTAGAAAGGACTGTCTTCCAGCTACTTGAATTTGGTCATATGGCTGCTTGAAAAGGCTACTCGTGTAACTCCGCGTTTGTTGTGCAAAATCAAACGTTTGTTAAAGTTCTCTGAAACGTTAAAGTCGTCCCAGTTTTCGAAACCTCTTCCTAGCTGTTGACAACAATGAGCTGGTAAGTTGTTCCGTGTGAATAAATTAGCTTCCTTTAAAAAAAAATGGAAGTTGGTTACCGTCCATTTTTTAGATATCGAATCTTTGACGAAATAAAATGTCGATATCATATCCGTTAGTGAATTAATTTGACTTATTTGAATTTGGCATGTTTAGCTCTCCTCAGACATAGGGCTGTAAAACAATAATTACGTGTGGATTTTTTTTTTTATCATAGAAAAGTGCTCTGTTCCAGAAAGGGAATCTTCACTCATTCAAAAGAATGATGTTGTTAAACGTAAAATGATGTGACTGGAGTGTGTTCTGTCTTCGTGTTGGCAGTGTAAAGGAGGAAACTCGAAGTTCATCTCCTCAATGCCCCAAACCTGATGAATCCGAGCAACCGCTGGGCACAAGCATGGAAACAGAAGAAGCCAACGGTGAGCGAATTCCTGTTGTTTTCAACGTCACTACCCATTTTTATGTTTAAATTATGAGTCAGTGATGAGATTCAACCACGTCTATATGACTAAAGTAAAGGTAACAAAGTAAGTCTGCTTGATTATTATATATATTTACAGTTACTGTAATTTGGTGCAGATGGAGTGTTGCCCTGTTCATATAGTTTTCCCCCCCACTTGTGTAACTATAAGCTGTTTTTAAATGTAGATGTCAGCGTGGAATGTGAAAAAACATCCCAAGCTGTTATCACAAAGGAAATGGAGGAGGAAGAGAAAGAGCTGATGGAAGAAGGGGAGAGAAAAGAAAAGGAAATGATTGAAAAGGTATTACCAATTAGTTCTTTATTTTAAATCAGGTGCACAAAATAGCTGTGCTCAGTTATGATCTTGTCCTCTCCATTGTTAGCTGTTATTAATTATTGTTTTTCACTTAAGGCCCGGAAGTCATGGGAAAGGGACTCGCATGACATGCGGTTCAAGAGGCTGCAGCATTTGCTCCAAAAGAGCAATATTTACTCCAAATTTTTGCTTACGAAAATGGAACAGCAACAGAACGAGGTACAGTGAGTGGAGGGCAATAAAACTGATTCAAAGAACCGAATTACTTTGCAGTAGATGCGTGTTGACGATGTATTTCAACCATTTCAGGAGAGACACCATAAAGAAAGAATTGAAAAAAAGACAAAACAAAAACAGGTGAGTAACATTTCACTTAGTGTATTTTAGCTCAATATTGAATTATTCACTCTATGTAAATTATGTTTTTTTTCTTAGTTGCAAAGCACCAACAATGCAGAGCCAGAGAAAGGTGAGCTGACATGCACTTAACACAGCATGTCAATGATTATTAAGTTGTTCCCCAACAAGCAGTGATATTACAACCTCACAATTTGTGTGCTAATCCTCACATTTACACATTTGGGCAGAGTTTGATTCTTTTTCTTTCTTTTTTTTAAGCTGGTAAAAAGAAGAGGAAAAGAAATGATGACTACAAAATAGCAGATGTCATGTCAGCAGAAGTAAGTCTTTTTGAAAAACACTTTCTTTTGTAGCTTTTTAAAACTCATCTGTTCATGTTTCTTTGTTTTGTTTTTTTCCATTTTCCAGGAAATCATGTCACAAGCTAAGAAATCAAAAGTTGGAGAAGAGGTAATTGTCTTTTTGCTTTTACTTATTTAATTTTAAGATAAATAGGACATTTTTATGTACTGTGATTTCAGGTCTGCATTGAAGTCGTAAAATTTTTTAAGGGTAAAGTGGAGGTTCCCATCTCTAAATAAGCACATCTGAGAGGAACTAAAAATCCATAAGAAAGTAACAAAATAAAATCAAGAGTGATAATTGTTCTGTAACCTCTGTTTTTTTAGAACGAAGCAGCAACTCAGAAGAAACTAGATGCTGAGGATATAGAAAAAATAAGTGACTCCAACCAAGAGATCAAGAACCGCCTCTCGGAGACGGTTCGAGACAATGCCAAACATCTTCTGGATCCCACCCGCAAGGTGAACGGGCAGCCCGTCCCTGTCCAGCAGCCACAACTCTTTACCGGTGGACTTATGAGATGGTACCAGATTGAAGGCATTGAGTGGCTGAGGGTGAGCTAGTGCAATCCATAGGGGGGTGTTAAATTCCTAGCTGGGTATGCTGATCTAATTGTGTCCAACTGAGTACCTTATTGTGTTCACATTTTTTTTGGTTCCTTGTTGTGATCCACCATCCCTCTGTAGATGTTGTGGGAAAACGGTATCAATGGGATTCTGGCTGACGAAATGGGACTGGGAAAGACCATCCAGTGTATTGCTCACATTGCCATGATGATTGAGAAAAAAGTAATGGGCCCCTTCCTGGTGGTGGCCCCTCTCTCCACTCTGCCTAACTGGATCAATGAGTTCAAGCGCTTCACACCACAGGTATGGGAATTTACTGAACACATGCCGCACAATAATGAGATTCTGTTAGTTTCACCAAAACACTCCTGCAACATTTCTACATGGATACACAACTCATAGATACTCAACTTGGTACTTGTAGTAAAAACAGTCACTTGTGTGTCAGAATAAAACTACTTTCCTTCAAATATTATTTCCTTCTTTTGTCAGACATAATTAACTATATTTAAATCCTAAGGTTTCCGTCTTTCTGTGATGATCATCTTTTTATAACAGAAAACCACCTACTGATCAGCTTTAGAGCTCAACTCAAACTATGGATGAAAACAAACCAGTCACGTGACCACTAAACTATTTACATTTCCTTGTGATGCTTATATTGTATATTATATGTTCTTTCTTATGTATTTGCCTGCCTAGGGACTACGGATGAAGACTAGCTTTGTAGCTATAATCCGGCATATTTACATTTGTTTTTATACTGATGTTCATTAATGTGCTTTGTCCCTATTCAAATAAATAAATGAATAAATTGAGTCGTGCCAAGGCATGTAGGGCTGAATAGGTACTAATGGGTATAACCCCCATAGCTTTTATTTCCCCTCCTGTTAAAGGATTGTGACTGTTAAAGGACCGTGGTCTAGCTCTATCTGTAGGTCAACTAGACCGAGCATTGCCAAATGAATGCATTCAGGGCTAATGTCTACCTCCTGTCTGTCCCAGGTATCCGTATTACTATATCATGGCCCTCAGCAAGAGAGGGCTAAGGTGCTGAAGCAGATCTGCAGGACTCAGGGGCCACTCAACATGTATCCTGTAGTGGTCACCTCCTTTGAGATCTCCATGATTGACAGAAAATATTTACAAGTAGGTCTCTATTGAAGTATCATTAAATACAGAAGAGAAAATGTAATATATGGATGTAATATAAGCTTTGAATACAAAAACATTTACATGAATTAGTAAAGCAAATTCACTTCACTTCATTGAATTAAATTTAATTAGCTTTAGTAATTTTGTGTATATATTTTGCATTTGATACTTTAAACAGATCTTTACATTTTTCTTCCTCTCCTTTGTATTCTTTTTAGTTTAGTATTTTGTTGAATGTTATTCTCTTAAAGTATATTTTGCTTTATTGGTCTCTATCCCTCAAATGTCTGAACAAACCATTGAGACTAAATGTAAATGTGTATGCACTTATATAACGCTTATAAGGCGCAAAAATCTGCTTATTGTCAAATACTTTTTCTCACTTATTGAGTTTTTTTTTTTTTTTAGTTTTGTAAGTTTGATTTTATCCAAGCTTCTCAATTTTGCTGTCCTGGTGCAGCGTTTCCAGTGGAAATATCTAATAGTTGACGAAGGCCACAGGATCAAGAATCTCAATTGTCGGCTGGTGCGGGAGCTGAAGACACTTCCTACTGACAACAAGCTGCTGCTAACGGGCACGCCGCTGCAGAACAACCTGGCTGAACTCTGGTCTCTTCTCAATTTCCTCTTGCCAGAGGTCTTTGACGATCTCAAAAGGTGATTTTTGAAAAAAATGTTTTGGTCAGTTAATAGCAAATATTCTTAGGGCTTAGGATAGCACTCCTGAGTAGACTGAAATGGCATTGGAATCAGAAATGTGTGGTCCGACCATCAATTGCAGGACTTCTTATATGTATTTTATGAAATTGTATACATAAAATTCTTTCTGTAATCTTCTGTCCATAGTTTTGAGTCGTGGTTTGACATCAGCACACTCGGTGACGCTGAGAATGTGGTGGTTGCTGAACGTGAGCAGAACATCTTAAGCATGTTGCACCAGGTCAGTGACCACAAAGAGCACCTGTATTTTAAGACGTTGAGTAGTAGTTGAGTAGTAATAACTACATGCAATACAAATGTAGCGTATACCATAAATATATGCTATATTGAGTAATATGATTAGAAGAATGTCATTGAGATTGATTATGTATCCTATTTATGTAAAACATGCTTTTTATATTAATATTAGATAGTAGTGATTTTTTTATTTTTTCTCGTCCAAGAAAATTAAAATAGCTTTTCCTAAAAGTTTTCTTCTTTCTCAGATTCTGACTCCATTCCTACTGAGGAGGCTGAAGTCAGATGTCACACTGGAAGTCCCTCCTAAGAAAGAGATAATTGTTTATGCACCCCTCACGCCCAAACAGGAGGCCTTTTACACTGCTGTTGTCAACAAGACCCTTGCAAAGATGCTTGGCCAGGAAAAGGTACCACACCACAGTTCTTCTCTGTGTAAATATGAATTAGGATTTTCAAAATGTTATGAGTGAATTGGATTTGAAATAACGTTTTGGTTGAGCTTGATATGTTAGTGCCAGCTGATAAATTACCGTTTTTTTTCTTTTCTTTCAGATTTTTAGTACTTTTTAATTATAATGTACATTTTAGGTGACCCTAATTAAAAAAAAAAAAAAATCAGTGTGAGACTTTTCTGAAGGACCCAAAATGTTCATCTCAGTATTCACAAAATAAGATTTAAATGCACAAACAAACTGTGTTTATTTTGTTTTTTAAATTGCAAGTCTCAAAAATTCCTAGTCCCCAACCCCCACCTTACTATGCAACTCAATATCTGTTGATTTTCTCTCATGAGTTCCTCTGAGTGTTTACAAATATTTTTTAAACTCTGGTTTATCTAGACCGAAGCTCCCATAGTTCTGACTTCACGTGGCAGACCCAAACGGCAAAGTCGAAAGGTGGTGGACTACAAAGAAACCGAGCCAGACACAGCGTTGGCCTTAGACAAATATCTGGACAGAGTTCGTAAGGATGCTGAGCAAAGGTGAGCACTGCCTGTACACATTTCAGTCACAGACTGGATTAGCTTTTCTCTGCCAAAGAATGCAAGTATGTGCTTTCCTGTGGAAGCAATTATTCAGCCGATGAAAATGGAGGGTTAAGAGAGACATGATATAATTAATGAATGTAACATGAAATGCATACCTATAAATCTCCCATTAATTCATTAAATGCATCAATAAAAAATGTATGCATCCTGGAATTATGAAATATGCAATTAAATAATTAAATGTCCCATGAAATTGTTAAATCTACTTTTTTAAATACTGAATGTAACTAATGAAATGTTCTATTGAAAAAAACTTATTTACAAATATGTTGTTTTTAAAAAAAAAAATCTATTTGTATTCTAACGTGTTCAAACATCCTGGCTCTGTTCAGATTGGACCTAAATGAGCTCTGTTTATTATATTTCTAAAAAGTTTTCTTTAAAATGTTATTTTAGTATGTAAAGTCCTTGTTTAAAAAGGTACATTTAAATATTTAATTGCTTTTTTAATAATTCCACAAACTATTTAGTGGTAAATATCAATGAGTTAATTATGTTTTTACAAATATTATGATGCAGGTATGCATTTCATGATTTTTTTCATTTTTTCACCTTTAACATTCCACAGTTACTCCTCTTCCCTCTCAACCACATCCAGTAATTCCATTAACATGGCCCCTTCCTTTCTCCACATCCGTTCCTTTATTTTTTAAATAACTATTTAATAAAGAAGGTAAATTATGTTTATGGTCAATTATGTTGATCCCATTGTGCTTTTTTACCTAATCCAGGTCATTTCCCACCCTGATATTTATTTATATCAGGGTATATGTGTGTGTGTGTGTGTGTATATCACAAAAAGACTGCCTTTTCCAATATTCTTTTGACAGACCTGTGCTGTGTGGTGAATTTTGTTGAATGACTTCATTTACAAGCCGTATTTATCCATTTACACACTCATGGAGCACTCCTACATTTATATATTTTTACAGGCTACAGAACACCTTTTCTATATAACACAAATGTCCACTTGCTAGTGGGAGGTGTCGGAGTCAAAGTGGTGAAAGTCTCTTTCATCCATTCAGGAGACGAGCATCTCACCCTCTTCTCAAATACCCTGTACAGCTCCAACAAAAATGACCTCATAACAGCTTTCCTCCTTCCCTAAAGCCCCTCTCCAGTACTGGACGTTCAGAGCCCACTGGATGCTCAGATCAACCTGAAGCTGCAGAACATGCTCATGCTGCTGAAGAAATCCTGCAACCACCCTTATCTAGTGGAGTACCCCCTTGACCCTGCCACACAGGAGTTTAAGGTATCCATTTATTTTCTATCTGCCACAATGTTGCTCTTATTTCCAGAGCCAATTGTCCTTAAAGTGACAGCTTCATCTTTCCTGTAACCCCTTCCTTTCTCCACATCCGATCCTTATTGCAGATTGATGAACAGTTGGTGCAGAATTCTGGAAAATTTCTTATCCTGGACAGGCTACTTCCCGCTCTGAAGAAAAGGGGGCACAAGGTAAAACGTCCTCTCTGTACTATGTTTGGGAAAATTAGGCATTGGTAGCATATCCTCGTGTTTGAAACCTTAAGCGACCTACAAGTCAGAAAAGTTAAACACCAGACAATCCGAATCATCCCAGCCAGGTTCTGTATTAAGCACCTATACATATGAATCCTTTCCTTATTTGGTAGGAACTTGATACAATGAATAAAAGACTCAACAAACTTATTCAGTAGCAGCAATGTACTACAGTGAGCTGTGTTTTTTTTTTTAGGAGCAAGATTTGTTTCCCATATATGTGCAGCTGTGTTTTAGTGTTTTAGAGAGGTGATGTGACTTCTTTCTGCATTACCAGTAATACTTGTAAGCTTTGAGTTGGATGTTAAAAATGGGAATTTTGGATCTGAAATTCAGTTTCAAAGCAGAGAACATAATGGAGAATTAGCAAGTTAGAAGAAGCAAACACTGAGGTAATTTGATAAAGCAAAGCTGAGACTAAAGGTTCATTACAATAAAAAAGGCAAAGCAACAGAGGAAAAATAGCTGTTATAGAACGGAGGAAAAGTAGTTATGGGTTATGAAGATATGAATGATGGATTACAATATGATATTACATAAGTAATATCAGATATTACAGCAAAAATGGATTTGTAAAGTGTTTTTTAAATGCTATGTGATCACCATGCTTTAAGCTCCTACAAGAGATTCAGTATCATTGAGAGCATCAGATTTATCATTGTTTTTTCTTTCCAGGTTCTGATCTTCAGTCAAATGACATCCATTTTGGACATTCTGACGGATTACTGCTACCTACGAGACTTTCAGTACAGCCGGCTGGATGGCAGCATGTCTTACGCTGACAGAGATGAAAATGTAGGTTTTTGAAGATTAAGTTCAGAAAAGACGAGATATTTCAAATTCGCTAACACTCTAAAGCTTTTAGACGTAAATGCTCCCAGCTCCATGCAGCAACCTCTGCTTTCTCATTCGGTCCTTCTCCGTCAGATAACGAAGTTTTCCAAAGATCCCGAAGTGTTCCTCTTCTTACTGAGCACTAGAGCGGGCGGACTTGGGATCAACTTGACTGCTGCCGACACAGTCATCATCTTCGATAGTGACTGGGTACGTGCAAACGATAAACCAATGATTTTAAAGCATTTATACCACTATGTTTTTCTACAAACACCTGAGATTATTCAGTGATGGCATGACATCAGACATCTATGAATATGGACTCCTTCCTTGGATTCATGATGTTCTTTAAACAGCTTTTTCTGTCTACCTTTTTTTTTTTCTAGTTGTCCATCATTGCTTATTAGAATTGGTGAACCCTGCTAATAATATTAATGAATGAATAAATTGTCTGTACTTTAGTTTCTTGCATCATCCCTCATCAATATATCTGTGTTGTTATACATAGAGATATTGTACCTAACTTCAATTCAATTTTATTTATATAGCGCCACATCACAACAACAGTTGTCTCACAGCGCTTTCCAAACAGAGCAGGTCAGACCCTACTCTGAAGTTAATTACAGAAACCCAACAATTCCCACCATGAGCAAGCACTAGGCGACACAGGCAAGGAAAAACTTCCTTTTAACAGGCAGAAACCTCGAGCAGAACCATGGCTCAGGCTTCACATCTCTTTGTCACAGAAACAAAATCAACAACAGTTACTCACTTAAGTTAATCAGTTTTTGGTGTTGCTTCCTTCAACTCTCAGAACCCCCAGGCAGACCTTCAGGCTCAGGACCGCTGTCACCGCATTGGGCAGACCAAACCAGTGGTCGTGTACCGCTTGATCACTGCCAACACCATTGACCAAAAGATTCTGGAAAGGGCATCTGCCAAGAGGAAACTGGAGCAGATGGTCATTCATAAGAGTGAGCCTTTGATGATAAAAGTTGCTATCCTCTATCTTCCATTGGATAATCATTTCCAGCATAGTATGCTTACAGATATTTAATGTACAGTTTGTTTAAATGTTGTATGTATGGATCCCGCTTTTAGGGTTAGGTCAGTTAGATGAGAATACATTTTAAAGTTTGAATTCCTTGAATCTGCTTGTTCAGAAACAGAAGTTGGAACACTAAAGAAAAGGCCACACACCTTTTCCTATTGTGTATCTACTGTACTGTCGATTCTACAATTTTCTTTTTCTCATTTTTTTGACAGATAAGTTCAAAGGCAGCAGGGCAGAGCTGAATCAAAACAAAAGTTGCATTGATCTCGATGATCTCCGGGATCTGCTCAAAGGCAAAGGTCTCGAAAAGTAAGACATTCTCTCAAACTGAAAGCTATACACAAATGACTCGTCTGTGCCTTTTTAACTTTTCATCATTGACTGAGGAACATTTTTTCTGCATTCGCTCCCCTTAGAGAGGTAAAAGCATCAAGAGGAAAAGTGATCAGTGACAAGGACCTAGAGATTCTGTTGGATCGCAGTGACCTTTTGGGTGTGTAAATATACCGACTACACTACTACACACGAGAAACCAACCATTGCTTGGCATCACAAGCCCACGTTTTCTTTGTAACTAACACTCTGCTTTGCTTTGGTTGTCAAAAAGTGATAATGGTTTGTCAAATCAGAAGTTAATACCACTCTTCTATGGATGCAGGTCAATGACCACAGATTGCTTTAATTGGAAAGCGTTTGTCGACAATGATGACGATATGGAAATGCCAAACATTTATATATTTTAGGAATTTAACAGTTTTTTTTGTGTGTGTGAGTCTGTGTGTGCTTGTACGTGGTTGTATTGGTCGAAAGTTGAATAGTTACTTACACAAGCCTTTTTTTTGCAGCTTTTGCAAAAAATGTGAAGCTCTTTCTACCATAACTGGTATTTCTGTCTTTTTATTTCAAATGAACCAATTTCTCTTCCTCATCAGACAAACACAAGGGGACCACGAAGGAGAAGGTGGGAGTCTTCAGAGTGATCGATGCCAAAGACTCATCAGAGATCACATTAACCTGAGAGCACAGGAACATTATTTTGGATAAAAACGAGGCCTTCTCTTGACGGTCCACAGCTACTGTCACTAATAGTGAAAGCAGGGGTATTCTTTAAACTGCTTTCTGTAGTTCTATATTATACATTTTATTTCTACTTTAACAGTCTTAATGATCTATATAACTATGTTTCTTTTTTTTTCTTTTTTTAAAGAATTTCCCTTTTTTTATCCACCAAGCCCTCTTTCTATGAAGCAACATCTAGACTTTTGAACATTTTCAGTTTCATGGCGTTTAAAAAGAAATTCAAATTGATTTTGGAAGGGAAAGTTAAATAAAAATATTTGAAATTGAAACTAAGAATTTAAAACGAATTCAATATATAAATGTCTCAAATCCATCAATATGCAAAGAATGGAGCAGTTGAAAGATGGTTCTATATCTTTTTACTTTAAATTCAATCACCATGCAACTTTGTTTTAAAAAGCCAATTTATTTACTTCGCCATTTGCTTTATCATTCAAGTCACCTATTAAACCATTTCAGTTTTATTTAATTCTCTCTATTTGTTCAATAGCATATTTGCTCTTCAGATTTTTGCTTTCTTATATAGAAGTGGTAAAGTAAATGGGCTTTTTATAATCAAGGGCCATAATTGTTGATATAAATCGGAGTAGAAGTTTGTAATTGTGGAGCATTGTGTGATGTATTGGTGGACTTTTAGCATATTGATGTGTTAATTGGGAGATGTATATATTTTTGCTTTTATTTTTAATTCTGTCCATTTCGGTTCAATACTTCTGTTGTCTACCTTTTGATATGCAAAACTTGAGTCCGTTAGGAAATACTGAGCTGCAGGGACAGTTTATCATTGTTCACAATGTTCAAAATTATAGCACTTTGATGCATCTACAGCGATACCTTTTCTTGTTGATCTAAATAAATCGGTGAAATTATTGTGTTGTTTTTTTTTTTCATTCTCAAAACACTTGCTAGTAAGAAAACTACCTTTTCTGATCTGTTGTGAGTGAAGGGGTTTAACATGCATAATTTTTTTTTTGTCGTTATGATTGGATTATAGAAAGAAATCAGTGCATTTCTCATTCATACAGCATTCTCCATATACACTAACATTGTGAAGTTTGATGTTTTGCTGAATGTAAGTAATTTTAGGTGTTAGGGGGTGACAAATTTCTTATGATTGAAAACTATAATTTCTTGTCATTTAAGGTATTTGAACAGCAACACCTTTCAATTGACAAAAAATTGGCGAATTGCTTTTTGCTGTATGTGAAACATAACATTCCACAAAAATAAAGTTACTAATGAAGCTTTTTTTTCAAAGAGTTGTATTTGAATTCACTTCAATTTATTCAGACTTCTTAATATAACCTATTTTTAAAATGTGCTCATTTGAAAAAAAAATGGATTTCAATCCTATTAAACACTGAATATGTATTAAACAGGTGATCGAGCTTGTGGATCCCTGGCCTAAATCCTCTGACGATTGGGAGTACACCTTTAACAGTAGGACAGGGTGTGTCCACGCAGCATTGTCAACTCGGGTGCAGCCACGCTTTGTCTTTCTCTCTGGAGCTTTCCTGAGTGCGTTTTGTGAGTCATATTTTCATGAACGTGCTCAAGCGATTTAAGGAGATTAATAAGTTGTGGATTTTACGACTTATATTTGCAATAATTATATCCTACCAACAGGTAAGCAACCTTTCACAGTATGGTCTAAGTTATGAAATATATAAAAAAAAAACATCTAATTCTACATTCTTCTGTTCAGGAAACGAAACAGCAGCAGCCAGAGGCCCTTTGCTGTTCTTCCACCCTGATCACTACTTGAGTTATGGAGCGTCTAAAGTTAGTCCTGCAGTACTTCCAGTCCAATTCTGAGTCCATCTCCAACGGAATCTGTATCATCCTTGCTCTGGTCAGTGTGAAGCTCTACACCAGTTTTGACTTTAACTGCCCGTGCCTTCCACAGTACAACAAACTGTACTCACTGGGTGTCATGATAGTACCTCCCATTATACTCTTCTTCTTGGGGGTGCTTGTCAATCGACATACAGGTGTCATGATGGATGAGTGGATGAGACCCATAGGACAAAGATCCAAAAATCCTGCAGTTGTAAAGTGAGTAACATGTTTACTGCTTATGGGACACACAGTCAGAGAGAATAATAATTACGGTTCATCACACATAATTTAATTAATAATGTCTGGACTAGTGACAAAACAGCCGTTTAGTGTGAAGGCATCAGTTACATGAAGAGTAAGGCTAAGCAAAGCAAAGCCTGTGCTCAGATTCATTAAATGGTCAAACACACAAAAACATGAGCATTTACAGAAACTCAAGGATAATCAAAAATATCTCCATCCCCTAGAATCTCCCTCTATCAGTTTAGTTTATGATCAATATATATTTCTGGTTTAACTTAGAACAATATTGTTCACCAGTTATTAGTTGTCAAGCTCATCAAAGCAAACTATCTTCTGTACCTCCTAAGGAGAGTGTTTATTTGCCGTTTTTATGTCTATAGTTTAACCCCCAGCTTCCCTGGACCACATGTCAGTGGTCTTTGGAAAGAAATGTAACCACATTGCCCCTAATGCTTCCATTGGTATGTGAATGTGTGTGAAACAGAAAAAGCACGCCAAAGCCTGTAGTGGTACTTTATAAACAAACAAAATTAGTGTAAGTATCTTTGTGTCAATTCTTAAAGTGGTATGCTATATTAAAGTGCTCCCTAATTTTAACAAAAAATCTGGTAAAAGTGACTTAAATTACTATATTTGGTGTTTGTCTTGAAACTTCAGTTTCTCACTGCTATACTGTAATTAAAGCTCTGTCACAACGTCCTAATTGCCATAGCAGGATTTTATGGTAATTCAATACATCTTGTTGCAGATACCTGTTTTCAGCCATGCTCCAGAGGGCTCTACTTGCACCACTGGTGTGGATCCTCGTCACGTTGTTGGATGGGAAAATTTTTATTTGTGCTTTCAGCCTCAGTGTAGACCCTGGGCTTTTCTCAGGTATCCATCACACACCCAATGTAAAGAAATGCCGCATCGAGTTTTCCCCAGTTTATGGGATTTTGCATTATCAGTTCGTGTGATGTTTATTTATCATCTTTTCTAAGGCATGCCTAACAACACAGGTTTGGATGTGATCAAAATCATGGCCAAAGTGCCCTGCAAGGAGGACGTTATTTTCAGGAACAGCTCCTTCCGCAAAGCGGTGTCCCGCTATGTCCGGTGTTATTCACAAGTAGGTTTTCTTGATCGTTATCATCACATGACATCATCACTTCTTATTCAGTCACACGCATAGTGTTTTCAAAACCTTTATTCGGTCATGTACTTCAGTACGATGGTATCAGGACCAAGTTCAATTCAATTTTCAATTCAATTTTATTTATTTAGCGCCACATCACAACAACAGTCGTCTCACAGCGCTTTCCAAACAGAGCAGGTCAGACCCTACTCTGAAGTTAATTACAGAAACCCAACAATTCCCACCTTGAGCAAGCACTAGGCGACACAGGCAAGGAAAAACTTCCTTTTAACAGGCAGATACCTCGAGCAGAACCATGGCTCAGGGTGGGCGTTTTGTGTTAGTACATTGGACTATTTCATATTCTAACAAATAGAACAAGTAAAGTATATATATAAAATACACATATGATCAGATCGTGTATGGGCTCTTCCTTAGAGATTTATTGTCTCACTGGCTTCAGTTTAATGTTTGCCCACACCTTCCACATAATGAAGAACAGTTGGTTTACTGACAGATGGCTTTTTGCATGCTCGCAGTTTGTACAACATGCATTTTGTTGGTTTTCTTTCCTGTCTAGGCAGTTGGCTGGTCTATTCTCCTGTTCCTGATTGTCATAGGAGCAATGGGACGCCTCATCAAGCCCTGCTTTGACGATCACGCCACATTCCTGCAGACGCGGTACTGGAGCAACTACCTTGACGTGGAGCAGAAGTTATTTGACGAAACTTGCGTTCTACATGCCCGTGGCTTTGCCCGAAAATGCGTCGTGCAGTTCTTCGAGGACATAAGGGAGGATACTATAGTGCGTCTTCCACACCCACCCTTCGTTGGTAACTCGACGGAGGGGTGCGACGACGAAGAGGACAGACTTCATGGCATAACGAAACAAGAGCAGATGGACCAGCTGCTCAACAAGTGGTACTACAGTAAACCCGAACTGGACGTGACCAGGATTGCATACAGGCCGAGAGCATGTGTTACCTGGGAGGACCAAGACGGAAAGCCGTTATACTCCAATGTCTAAGATGTCTAATGACATGTCTAATGTCTAAGATGTAGAGTGTGGCATGAAATTCAGTCATTTCATGCAAAAATTGGTTATCTGAGTCCATAAGTAAGCTTCGTAGAGTCAACTGGTAAAGTCAATGGTTACAGAAAGTGGATGGATCGATAAAATGGTTCACATGTGTTTCACACTAACATACTGCAGCGTTCATTTCTCTCAAAATACAAAATGACCCACCTTGTGTACAAATATATGGTCAAATACAATGCCGTTGAGGACATAATTTGAGAAATTGTTGTACAATCTCAGCAAGAAAACAAAGATTCTGAAGAAATGTTTTTCTTGTTTAGTGATATTATCATTGTCACATATCATACTGGGACACTACAACGTATATATTTAGCACAATCAAAAAAACATTAATGTCAAAAGGGGAAATAAATGTTGTCATAATTGTTTCTGTTGTTTGCAGCATTGAGCTTTAAAATGTCATTAGTAATTGTAAAAATTAGGCCTAGTAGTCTTTGCAACTTTCTCCTTTACACAGCCTGCACCACAGCAGTTTTCAGGACAGCGCCGGTCTTGTTTTTCAGTTTTTAGAATCTTTGTAGCCCACAAGGTTTTCCCTTGGAACAAGGGTTGTTTGACTATGCTAGGGTGTGGACCTGCTAGTTTTGCATTTCGGCTTTTGACAATGCTCGCAAACACACACAGGTGAACACATGCAAATACATCAGCAAAAACATATCGTCAGCAGACATGCTCATAATTTAGCATTGACCATTCAAATGCAGTAAGTGGATACTGCAACACTTAAGACTGCTGAAGCTGATTGTGTTTTAATTAGCATCAGTAAAATAAATATTTTCATGAAGAGAGCATGAACATGGTCTAAGTTCAGCAGCTTTCAGAAATCGCTGAAATAGGTAAATGTCCTGTGCAACAGTAGTCATAAAATAGGATTAATTATTTGGGGGACATAAACTAAAAAGTAAAAGACTGTAACAGTTTTTCTTGCATCTTTAAAATTCAAAGGAAACTCAATCTGGAGCTACAATCGTCAGAGTTGTGTGCAGAGACTGTCTGTTCACGTTTCCTTTGTTATGCAACTGTATTTTTCTGTGATCCAACTTTCTCCCATGTCACTCATGCATATGTGCACTGATGTTTTTCCATATCTACATAGTTTTCTTCCTCATGCAAGAAAAGGACCTAATGTTTACATGCAAACCAAGTGTCCAAACCTGTTTGAGAGCCTTTTTGGCTACCAACATTGATTGTTTTGTGGCTTGCCCATAGGGTACAGTATCCTTTGGTGGCCAGGAATAAACACGTATACATGGTGATTATATTCTAAAATGTAGGAGGGCTTTGCTCTAAGTAGCAGGTCAAATGTCATGGCTAAATTACAGACAAAGGGAAACGTTTCAATTGATTTGCAGTGCTTTTTGTCAGAAATAGAGCAACTGCCGAAATATAAGGTTTGAACTTCATTTGCTTATAGAACCCCTTGAGCTAAAATTTGCACTCTTGTTAACTTGATTCTTTTGTTGAACAAACTAGATAAATTGTTAGCTTACAAACATGTAATTTATTCAGTTTTACAAGTAAAATACTTGGCTCAGTGTGAGCTCTCGCAAGACCTCAGAAACAAAGAGCACTCACCTGGGTGTGATTCACAGATATATTCCTGGGCTAGTAATGCCTTGTACAAAAGGCTGTACTTAGAAAACGGAGTTTCATCGGCCAATTACCTCTGTTGTGAACAAGCCAGCATCTGTTCACGTGGACAAGTTGGAATGTTCTATGAAAACATGGGTGTCCAACCTAACTGACAGATCTATGATTACCTGTGCCTGTGCCTCTCACAGAATCCATTTCTGTCACTCAGCTTCAGGCCTCTATTTGATCAATTGAAATTATTGGATGTGCTACTACATTTACAGTCTTTAAACAAAATTTGCAATGTGTCATTTGTATTTTCCATGCTGTAAGCATGTATGCCTCAAGATTTACAAGTTTACTGAAACAAAATTTGGCAAAACAAAAAAAAACAACTAAAAAAATCAAGCAATTCCCCCAAACAAATATAAAATGAATATTATATGTTGTCCTTACTCTTTATTTGGGTTGGATCTTTTTTTTACAGTAGAAATGGCAGAACAATTCTAATCTGAGTACTGCTTTATGTCGATCTAATTTGCTTTGCTAAGGCAGGATTTATGGGTTAACAGCCTTGATTGATTATCCAATACTGCTCTTTTTTAAAATGTATTTTTCTTACAATACTTTACATGTAGTGAATAATACCAAACCTGACCGGGAGAGGGGGAGAGCAGTTTTCAACCATTGGCTAAGAACTGGAACCCAAGCCGGTTTGGTTTTGGTAGCAGATATTATTTCCATGCTAATATGATATAAAAGAAAATTACGTTTTTTTTCTTTTACATGCGTTACATTGTTAATACCACGTGTTCCTTTCTATGTTGATGTCAACTGAATCTGATAATGTGTTCTGTGAAGAATTGTGTATTGTATAGACTGCAAATGACAATAAGTGGTGATAGACAGATATGCTCCCATCTTTGAAGATGTCAGATAAATTGTGTTATCCACTATGTTATTATCTTATATATTTTTCTTTAAGTAGTTTTGGGGCAGATACATTCAAGTATTCTGCTACCTTCATTTGGAGTTGCAAATGTAGATGGTAGAAGAAATACCTCTTAGTTGTTGTGGACTTAAATTATTGATATTCTAGAAATGTCTTTTCTGAGGGTTGTGTTCCCTGCAGACAGCGTTTGCAACTGTTGCTGACTGAACTTCAAAGACTCACGTTTTTCCTGGGCACTTTCTTATGTTTTGAAAAACAATTTGTTAGATGGCGAGTTTTGTAACATTTAATAAAAGCTGACAAAGACAATACACGCTGCTGTATAGTATACGCTGCTTGAAAAGAATTTTTCCCAGGTATGATATTCTCAGAGATTTTTAATTGGAACAGATAAGTAACATAAGGGGGGAAAATCCTATCTTGCTCCTCCAAACATTTAAAGATTTTCGAATTACGCCTGTCTAACGTAAGTAAATGCATTACACATAATTTTAATGGATTTTTTAACAGCTGCATATTTTGCGATGATGATCCTGAAGCTTTCGAACTTTTTAAAGTGTTTTTTTGTGAAGGATGTTGGGAATGATGATGATTAAGTCCGAGGAAACTGACTAGCTTTAATTAAAATGATAAACTAATTAAATAATGAACGACCCAACAAATTGACTTCCAGACCAGAGGGTGGCAGAAATGAAAAGAAGATGACAGTTTTAACCAGATATGGGGTCGTCTGGGGATGTGGTTTTTGGGAGTGTTTTCAGTTTTTTAGGAAGAATTGAATAGATTGTCGAATCCATACTCCATTCTGGAAGGTGGCGGTAATGCACCTAAAAGTTGTTTGCCAACCGCCATTAAAAAAAAAAAAGGAAAAGAAGAAGAAGAAAAAGAAGAAGAACCGGAAAAAGGAATCATCTGGAAATCTCGCGCATGCGTAAAAGTCTGAAGTTTTCGGCGGGACGATTCAAAGCACAAACAAGATGGATTTGATACCTGCGCTGCAGTTCCTGAGGTTAAATCATATTTCTGAAGGTAAACCTAATTATTTAGTTTATTTTACGTTAACGTCATTACAGTGTCTGGGACTTGATGTTGTGTTAATTTAATGAAAATGAAAAACGTAAGTGTTGTGGCGTTTCCGGTTGATTGTGTTTTATCTTAAGTTCAAGATGCGTTTGAATTTTTTTCCAAAATTGATTTTTTCCTAACCGCGGCCAAAACGTTGAGTGTATGGCAGCCCTGTATACTGAAGGTTTCCTGCCTGTTGTAGGATTGTCAGTGCTCACTGACACACCGGTCGTTTATCAGACTAAATAATGTGCAACATAGTAATTACACATAAAAAACACACACAAAAAAAAATGTAGTTAGTTGGTATTTGATCTATTGATAAGCATTTGAAAATACAAAAACGTTCTAATAGTTTCTTGAAAGACTCCAGTGTGGTGCTTTCATTACATGGTCAAAGTGCCAGAAAACAAGAGTTTTACAGTGTTGTCAAACGTTTTGTTCGCGTAATGGATCTGATGGCCAGGTTAATAACAAGGTTGAGAAGGATAGTGATTTGCCCAGATAATTTGATACTGATAACAGTGGAGAATTGCTAGCTTTAAGCTGGAGGAAGTTTTGATTCACCCATGCTTTTATTTAGCATTTGCACATTGACACTTCACTTCTGCTGTTTGACAACAAGAAATGAAAGAATTAACATTATCACAAAGAAGATGTACGATTTTATCTGCAGTCTATAGGCTTTGAAGAAATAGTCCACTCTCATCGTGATGGGCTAGTTCAGTTTATGAGCCGTTTCTGTTTAGTATAGAAAACATGGATGGGTTATTTGTTTTTGCTTTCCAGTTTTAGTGATAAGATGGTCATAAAACTACTCATTTTCTGTATTCCTCATGCTTGATCAGCCAATGATCCAATGAAAAAGTAGTCTTAGCGGCCAGAAAGGCTCATACCATTCTCATGTTTAGGAAACAACTTTGCTGTTGCAATTTATTTCATGAACAAAAGATTTCCATTTAAAACTAAATGATAATTAAGAGTTCTGCATGCTTTGTATATCCAGTACAGGGTAAATATTGAAAAGCCATTTGATTCTTAAAAGTAGAAACTAGTTTTTGTTTTTTTGTTTTTTTAGACTGGGTGGATGCAGTGTGGGAGTTGGAGTTCACAGAGAGAAAAGCGCTGGACGATGCCACAAATAAGGAACTCACAGCCACAAAGGGAAACGCCTTCCAAACCCTGTACCATTGTTTAATCCGAGCTTCTGAACAGACAAACTCTGCAAGCAGTGATGGTGCTTCACAGGTAAAGTTAAATGAAGTCAGTCTTTGTCTGTTGAAAGTTCAAGGACTAAAAGTTAACACTACAATTTTTACCAATGTAATTTAAAAAACAATTTCATTTTCTGACTGGGTGTATTAGAAGTGTATAGAATAATCAGCTAGTATGATAAAGATAAAGTGTGAAAAGGAAAAAAACACATTTGTTTAAACTTTTTTAAATGATAATTTGGAATAGTCAAGACTTTGGACAGATTTTCTTAAGTTAGTCTTACCAAGTTAAGTTGTAAGATACATGATATTTTCTGTTTCTGTTTTTCTGTTTCTGTTTATTTTATTTGTAATTTACTTGTATCTAAAATGATTATCAGTTGACTATTATCTATAATAAATCCAATTGCAGACTTTATGAATTTAAAAATGCAGCAGAAGAATCCAGTTTAGCAGTTGAGCAATTCTCAGATCTATGAAAACTGTGTCTAGCTGAGCTGTAAATTAAGTTCATGTGTCATGTTTACAAGCCTTGAGATTGTACACATATTTCCCATTCACACAAAGTACTTCTTAGTCTATAAATATTGCACTCAAGGTAGGCTAAGTGTGTAACTGGTCTTGCAGTTGAATGTTAGTCAGTCACCCCCAGTTTCTTTGCAAAAATATATATTATGTGAACATTTTTTGTTGAGAGGATGTTAGAGATGTAAAAATATTCCTGTTTACCCTTTTGCGCTAAAGTAGAACACCATTGGAATGAATGTTAACACTGTTTATCCCCCATGTTACAGAGTATTTGGGTTACTCTTGCACAGAATGGCGTGTCAGTCAAGTCTCTCGTGGCAGTGCTTTCATTTTTTGTTCTTGGTGCTAAAAATAAAGCAGCTAACGTTCAGCAGAGGTTGGACGGACTGTACGCTGCCTCTCTCTACCTGCTATTGCTGAGAATTCCAGGTAAGGGAATCTGATAGCATGCCTATAAGCTCTGTAATGCCTTAAAGTCCTATGTAGAAGATATGCTGAAGATCTCACAAAAACAAACATATGATTGGGTGTTTTTTTGTGGTGACACCAAGTACACATCTTTCTTCTTTCTAGGGAGCATCGCCAATAAGGTTTTTCACGAAGTATTGTTTGACACGTGCTCTGAGCTGACCTCATACTGCTGGCCTCAGGACTCTGGGAAAAAGCGCAAGAAGGATGGCACGAAGGCTTCTCAGACAGAAGGCAAACGTTCAAAACCGCAGAGAAAAGATGTTACAGAGGTAAAGTTCTGTGCCAGAAATGACCCATGTCATCGGGTTTTCTACTGCATCCAAGTTGGTTGAATGTATTTTTAGTTTATTTCAAACCTTGACGAAGAAGAAATAATGTATTTTGTTGGCCTCAGATGGAAATTGATGAGGAGGAGGATGAGGAGGAACAGCTTAATTTCTCTGGCCAGGACCTAATGAAGATCAGGGAAGCTGTCGTCGTGTTGGTTCAAAGCCTTCTCAGACTCCTGCAAACATTTCCGCTCAAAGACAGACCACAGAGCGCCAGCAACTGCACACGGGTGATTCATGATTCTTCACGACCACTTTACATCACACTGTAGCGTCTGCATGAAGGAACTGTGAAACTGGAACAACTTTCTCCATTTTCTGCAGATTTTCAATAGGCTGTTGTACTTTGAACCTGTCATAGGCAATCTAACCTTTGCTGCTCCACAGTGAGTTTTTTTTTGTTTTGTTTTTTTGCACCAATCTTTCTCTCATTGAAGGAATGACACAAGAAATGAAAACTGATTATTGTGATTTCCATACAGAGATGTCACCCAATTGAAGAGTGTTCCAGAGATGGCTTTCTATGGCTTTAAACTACTTTGCTTGCCAAAACATGGAGATCAGACAGAAGTAAGATCTAGTGATGACTATCCATAACAGGCCAACAGACAATTTGCTGTACAGTGTAAACGTATCATGCAAAACGTCAGCTATGTCGGAGTGTATGACAAAACTTACAGCTATCATTCTACCAAATATTTAGACTAAATCCCTGCATGTTTGATTGTAGCTCCCCAAACCAAATCTATCAAATGTATAACCCTGAAAAATGCTTAATCATCTCATCATCATTAAATGTGAATGGCTAGTTGAAAAAAAAATACAATGATTTATACGACTTGATAAGATCAATGACCCGATAATAGGCTGAATGAAATCCACTTTAATTTAAAAACAATCTGTATTGAAATATGACAGGATTCAATCAGAATGCTAAAGTGTTAGATACGTCACATGATATAAGAGGACTGAATAAATAAACTATCAAAAGATTAATGTTCAGTTACTATGACACATCAGGATTTACTAAAATTATGTCTCTTTTGGTTCAGTCCCTGAGGAGGGTGTTCCACCAGCTTCTTTACGTGATTCTGATGATGAATAAAGGCAACAGAGGAAAACCTTCCCTCCTTGTTCCTAGCCAGGCCATCCTCGCTGTCCGCGACCAGTCCATTCAATTTGTCGGGTTTGTACCTTTCCTTGTTTTCATTGAGTGTTAAACCAGTAAGTAGAATTACTTATTAAAATCCATGTGCTGTAAAGTTGAAACAATTCATATGTGAAGTAGTTTTAAATGAATTCTGCACATGCATAACAGCATCCAAAAGTCAGATGAAGTTCTTTCATTAAATATAAGGAATTATAAGTGTTTTATTTTTTATTTCATAAAAACATGGACTGCTTTAAACTTGAGGGGGGTGTCTGTCTGTCTGTGTAATCCTCCAAAAAAGAAGTCATTGTTTTGGTAAAGCTATTTGCAATGTGCGCAAAGCCAACTAAAGCCTGCAGGGGGCAACAAAAAACAAAAACAAAACTTAATGTATAAAATAATGAATGGCCAAAAGAGGTATAGAGCTTATACAGCATTTGCACTGAGCATTGTTAATTATTTTTTCTTGTCTTGCACTTCATCACAAAGCAGATCTTTGAAACTTTAATTTCAGCAGAGCAAAGCTAAAGGAATAAAAGCATTACCAGAAGATCAGCTTATTGCTCTGTGTTTTAACGGGATAGCCTCAAAGATTCATCCAAAGCCATGATAGTGCAGGTGTTCTTGATGCACCAAGTGCAATTTACATCTATGTTCAACTTTCAATTCTTCAAATTCATATTCATTTTTAGATGATTTTTTGCACTTTTTGTAATGATGAACAACCAAGGGACCTGGATAAATGTTTACTAGCACAACAAGGGTTGTCGGTTGTTTAAAATGTAAGCACCAAACACTGTTTAACATCCATTAGTATTGTTAATACTTTTGTTTATTTTATTGGTTAAAAAAAATACTAGGCTTTTTCTCCCCTGCTGCTATCTGCTGGTGACTGGTTTCTCACATAATACCTACTTACTTGTAGAATTGTGCAATTTGTTTGTACTAGAATGCAGATCACAATTTCTGCATAGTGTGTTGTTTTTATTTGTAAGATGAAATGCAGTTTATCACATTGTTCATGACTTTGATTACAGTCATCTGGTGGAGGAGCTGAAAGAACTCGCATTGCCTTTCCTTAAAATCCTTCTGCAGCATGTCTGCTTCCAGGTCAGTCCTCATCAAATAATCCCGAAAGCGTATAGTATCTGTGTATATATACGTTTTTGAGATGCTCATAAGTTTGTATCGGTGGCATTGTCGACGACCATTGCATCAAAGGTTATGTTGTATTTCTTTTGTGTTGATGTGTAGATGGTGGAGAAAAGTGAGTTTCGAAGTCATGGAGCCCAGGCCGTGGGCTTGCTGGTATCTCACATGAAAAGTACAGACTACGCTTGCTTCATAAAGTGGCTGTTCAATTTCTCCAGAAACTCAAAGGTAACATAATTCATCACACTTCTAAAAAATTGGATGATCCCTCTCCCTGTACTCACTTGTTGGGGTGGATTTGTGCAGAGGTGTTATCCGATTTAATCGTAACGAGCATCGGACTCGACAAGCAAGATATAACTTAATGCCATTTGAAAGATCACAAATACTTCCTACCTTAATCTTGGCACACATTAAAAGTGTAAATGTTGGTCTGGGTTTATTTTCTGCAAGCAGTTTGTTTTGTCTGTTTTGCTGACCCCTGTAGATGGTGCACAGGCTGTTCTCTGTGGATGTCGTAATGGTTTTGTTGGAGCAGCCAGAGAGGACGACGGAGGAGTGTGAGGATGCAGACCTGGCAGATTTCCTGACGCACAAATTCCTGATTCAGAACCTGCTATTTGCCCGAAGAATGGACGAATCCCCCACCGTTCAGGGCCACGCCCTCGCCTGCCTTGCTCAGTGTTTGGAACTTCCTTCCCTTAACATCACTCGGGCTGTCCATGACCTCTTTTCTGCCAGTGAGAAGATGAGCTCACACACACAAAACATGGAAAAACAAAATTAATCTTGAAACTCCATTTTAATGAAAAACGGTACACTTTAAATTATAACTGTAACTAAACATCAGGATATCAATTAATAAGAACAGACTCAAAGTGGAACATTTTTGTGATTGGAATCATCAAAATATGATTTCTTTTTTAAACTAAACTTCTTAGTTTATGTCAATCATACTACTATTTCAAATAGATCTATAATATGATGATTCCATAAAGTTTTACAAAATGCTACTGAATATTAAGATATTGATTTAAAAGAAAGAGCTGCTGTTCACAATTTCCTATTTTAGATAGAACTAGAACCTAGGTAGAACTATGTCAGATATAAAGTCCCTACTTTTCATTATATGTTAACCCTCACATGCCCACATCCTACAAAAAATCTTAAACTTTCCATTCAAACTTGTATTGCTAATACTAAAGCAGCCTGTTTACTTTATCCCTTTAGCTGGAACCCAGACTGTGTTGGAAAGTGAACTCACAGAAGGTACATTCCTTTTTGCTTTGTTGGACACTTACTTTCTTGAGGGATTTTTTTTTACAAGATGCTGATAACTGGCCAACAGGAACATCTGTGTGTTCCCTCTTTTGCATGGTGATATGCTCTGTTGGACCAAGTGTAGGCATCGTTTCAGTCAGAGATCACTCTGATTGATTAGTATGAGTAATTTAACTATATTATGTCAATGTGATTCTTATCTCTACAGTATTGTAATATATGAATCTCCCTAAATAGAAGGACAGGAGTTTTAATACCTATGACTATGCACTGTAGACCCTGTAATGCTTGTATAATTGTGACACAATATGTTAATAGATGTATTGCCGTTTCAGGATGTCTCAGTTCTCAGACCAATCAGAAAACCTACCGAACTCTGCCGTTCAGAACTGTGGAAATCAGCACCGCTGACAGCTCTGGCTTTGATGGTGAGATTTTATTTACATGCCTCTGGTACTGGACAGCATTTTATATGGATATGCAGATGGTGAAAAACGTTGTTAATGTGTTCAATGTAGCAAAAGAGAACCTGGCTCTTCTTCGCCGCCGAGTTAAAGACTCAAAGACTAATGTGAGGAAAGCAGCACTGCAGGTACAAGGAACTGATCCAATTGAATTGAAAAGATAATGACTGCAATAATCCATCCTTTTAAATGTGCTTTCTCTATACTTATAGAGAACAAAAAATGCAGAAATGATATTTCTGAAGGATAACTTAACTTATTCCTCCCAGGCTTTGGTTGGTCTCCTGAAACATGATGTAATCCCCCTCAACTGGGAGAATCTGGAAACTCTTTCAGAGCGCTGCAGAGACCCAGCTGTGTCAGTGAGAAAAAAAGCCCTGCAGTGTGTCAGAGAGTTGCTCACCGTGAGTCCAACAAGCAGTTCTGAAACCTTTTTAAAACAAGAGCATAACACAGAAAACTCATCTTTGAAATGGCAGTTAAAGTTTTCAATTTTCTGCTTGTCACTAAAGTGAAAACTTAATCTAGATTATTCTCAAACAGAGCTATCACAAATGTTTCCCCTTGTTATTTCTTCTTACCAACAGGCTAAACCGGAGTGCAGTGTAGTGCAGGAGGCGTGGCTGTATGGCGTGGTGCCAGCTATTGTGGATTCTGAAAATTCCGTGCAACAAAAAGCCTTGGAAGCTCTGGAACAGGTTTTGTTGGATCAAGTGAAGCCATACTCTCAAAACCATCACCTGGATGCCAGTCAGAGGCTGACCTGGGACCTGCTAGGCCTCTTGTGCCATGAGTGCCACAACCTGAGGTTGGAGTTGCGCATGATGGGATTTTTTAAAATCAAATTACATACTTGTCAAATGGCTAAAACAACCTGGTCATCGCAAAGCAGATTTTAGGTCATACCATAGATTCTCAAGTGGATTGTAGCATGGACTTTGACCAGGCTCTAGACATTTTTAACATGTCTAACCATGAGCCAATTGAGCATTGGTTAAACTTGCTTGAAGCCAAGATCTTGAAGCTTTGATGAAGCTTCAAGTGTGTTGAATTAGTCATTTTTTCCCCTTAAAATATTCTATGTATTTGGTACCATCAATTCTGGCCAATATCTGCCTCCAGAAATGTTCCACAGCATGATGCTGCTACATCAAGGCCTAACAGTGGGAGTTATATTCTATATGTAAGCATTTAGTTTTTACCAGAAAAATAATTTGCTATATGAGGAAATTGGTTCACCCTTTGGCCTCAGCTGACCAGAGATCCTTTTTTCCTTTTTAAGACTTTTGTTCATTGTAAGCATGTTGTCAATGGTGCCTTTTAATCCAACAAACTGACATTTTTAAAAATGTTATTTTATTTTTCAGCCGATATTTCAGTAGAGCCTTCACCATCTGGTCAAAACAGGGAAAGTTCACAGCAACGTTCATGACCAACCTGATGTCACACACTGAGGCGGACCATGCCGCCGGTGCGTGGTTGCTTCTCTCTAAGGTGGTAAAATCATCACCAAGACTGTCATACAGCAAGATCCTTGATGCTTGGGACACCGTTGTCAGGTAAGCAGGAAAAGCACATTCACAGGAAGCACACAATTTTGTGTTATCTGGATTTATTACATAATTTTGTGTTATCTGGATTTATTACATTTATAGATGTACATTTTCTTTTCATAGCTCAAAAGATGTAAATGTGACAACCTGCTGTCACATCCTTTCTGTTATGGGGGACATTGCAGCTCATTTGAACGAAGATACCAAGGAGAGGATTGTTGGTAAATAGTTGTGAAAAGGAACCATGGGAAAATTCATTGGACGAACATAAGATTAGATCTAACCTCCTTCTTCTGTTTGTTTTTTTTTACCCCTCTTTACTATAGCTGATCTGATGTCTTGGTTGAAAAAATTCACCTTGTCCCTGGAAGTAATAAGTTCTGCTGTGGAAACACTTTATCAACTTGGCCAAAGTGAGGACATAAAACAGACACAGGTTGGAAAAAACATCTTCTCAATTCCTTTTTAATAGATTCTAAGCAGTATAACAATTGCGTGATTAGGTTCGCTTCTGCATTTTGATAAACAATTGTACACTGTTGAGAAAATAGCTCTGCTGATAAAGATCAAGCTCTGTATGAGATCTAAGTTTGTACTCATGTACTGCACTTCTTGAGCTAACAAGAAAAAACACTTGTTTCCTTTTTGGCTGTGCACAAACTCTTTCACATAGCTTCAACATATGTAGTTCTGTCTAGTCCTTGAGGGCCGCTGCCTTGCGGATATTTAGAAGTTACTTTGCTTCAGTACCTTATTCTGATAAAATGGGTCAGTTCAGAAGCTCTGCGCATGCCCGATGATGGCACATTGACGTGAGTCAGGTGTGTTGAACCAGGGAAATTTGTAAAACCCGTAGGAGAGCGGCTCTGGAGGTACGACTGGGCTCCCCTGTTATACACGAACGAGGAACCAGATAGCTTTCTAGTCCACCAAAGCAAGAGTCGTGTCTGCATTCTTGGAACCAAGTAGAATCTGCATAGAGCATGTGTTGGGCATTGCCATGGCAGCCTCTTTTCAGGGATTCTGTTTGTGGTCTGTTTCATGGACAGGATCTCAAAATGTGTTTGTGGAGAGTAGGGCTTCTAAAAAGCCCAAAAATTCAGATGAGCCATGTCTTATGTATACATAGGTTAATGAAAACTGATTTCTGGATATCTTCTTTTTGTTAGTTTCCAAGTCATCAAAGGTTTTCTAAAGTCAATTACATTTCCCCCTTCTTTTAGTTGAAACATCAATTAAGAGAAGATTGAAAATACAAACTTGGTGTACAAATGGTTATGAATAATGTTTTGGATAGATATTGAGTGCTTTTGAAATTCATAAAACTGGGAGAGTTTTTGTCATTATGTTTACCTTGTTGTTTGCTAAATTAAAACATCATCAAAAGTTTGTATTGGTGATAAAGCAATTGAAAATAATGATTAAGAGCTGTTATGTTGGATTTCTTTTCTTAAGGCTTTTTTGAACCAGCACTGCGGTGAACTGATTTTACTCTGCGAGGTTTATTTGGCAAACATTATTCTCAGTGAAAATGGAGCCCAAGACCTCGATGAACAGCTGATGGTGAGAATACAAACACATCATGGTTTTTCAACTGTCACTCAACACAGTTTTACCATAATAATGTTGTCTTAAACAAACTTTGACTGTTTTTATCTTTTATGTGGGTTACTATTGTATATTGAGCGGTAAGAACTTACTGATGGTAAAAGAAGACAGCCACTCTAATGTCACTTCTGTTTTTGAAATTCTTGCTTGAAGTTTGGTATTTATACGTCACCGTATTGGTCTTTGCAAGAACCAAAAGTGATCAAGAAGGTTGAGTTTGAATTGTAAATTGACAGAAATAAGTATATTTTGCAGTCTGTGTCCTGGAGAAACATTTGCAAAACTGTATTCCAGAAAAGCTGCAAATGAAGAACAATGTTTGCAACAATTGTGTTAATTTAAACAGTCGGAATAGTGAACCCGATTGGAAAAATCGTCCAAACATGCCCGTTTTTAAAAGAAATTACTTTGCTTCCAGATAAAGTATCTTCACACTTTGGGTGTGGCGTCCCTCCAAAGTCCTGCCAAGGTTGGAAAGAAGACGGTGCTGCTTGTGGAATCTGTCTTGACAGCACATTCTGAGAAACTGGCAGGTATAGGAGATAGATGTCTTAGCAACAGATTATATTTCAATTTCATAAAGTCTGGTTGAGGTTGGGAAAAGTGTTAAGACCAATTCTTTCTCCATAACCAAGCTCCAGAAGAAATATTCCATAGAAAGCGTCTATTGTTAGCCTAATGTTTAGGAGTTGTTTTTGTTTTTTTTTAGAAAAAACTATCGTCACCTCTTGAGTGACTGTCAGATTTAAGAAGTAATCTAGATATAAATAATTCATTTTAAAGACATTGTTCTAACTTGTTCTTTTGGTTTGTATTCACATTTGTAATGACCAGAATTCCAGGAGGAGTTGCCAGCCTCACTTCCTCTGTCTCAGTTTAAAGCAAATTCTCTGCCATCTAGAGTCAGAGCCCATGGTGTCATCACTCTAGGTAAACTATTGCTGCTCCCTCTTGTTTCACTTTTTTGTTGTTAAATCTAATTCATTACATTGTGTCCTTTTCTTTTCTTCCTCTTGGGGGTTTTGCATTTGTCCAAATCAGGTAAACTGTGTCTGCAACACGAGGAACTCGTCCAAAAGTACTTGCCAGTGTTTGCCAGGGAGCTCGAGGTCGGCACAGAGGTTGCAGTGCGCAACAATATTGTGGTGATAATGTGTGATCTGTGCGTGCGATACACAAACATCGTGGACCGCTACATCCCCAACATCTCTGCCTGTCTGCGAGACGACGAGGCTGTAATCCGGGAACAGACTCTCATCATGCTCACCAACCTGCTACAGGTGAGCTCTGTGTCAAACGCAGAATGAGCAGACCGTGGCTGTTGGAAACATCTGCTGACTGACCGAATGAAAAGTCTCTAAAGAACACAATCTTGCATTGCCATGGTTCTGCTCGAGGTTTCTGCCTGTTAAAAGGAAGTTTTTCCTTGCCTGTGTCGCCCAGTGCTTGTTCATGGTGGGAATTGTTGGGTTTCTGTAACTAACTTCAGAGTAGAGTCTGACCTTCTCTGTTTGGAAACCGCTGTGAGACAACTGTTGTTGTAATGTGGCGCTATACAAATAAAATTGAATTGAATTGAATTGAATCAGTTGCTGTTTTCTAGCTGTCACTTGTTGGTAAACTCAGACCGTAACTTCTTGAAATGTGTCTCATCCCTAACTGATATATCCAATCCATTGTGTATAATTTCTCTGGCATGCCCTTTAGTTGCAGAACGTACACTTTGATTCTCTTTATGACAGTTTACACTTCTATCGAAGAAGCGAACATACTATCGGGGTGTTTTTTTTTTCTTTTTCTTTCTTTAGGAGGACTTTGTTAAATGGAAAGGCTCTCTCTTCTTCCGCTTCCTGATAGCACTGGTTGACCCCGTCCCCGCTATTGCCAGGTAAAGTCAGTCAAAGCCAGTGTTGTAGTGTATGATTTTAAAAAAATGAATGAAATACTGTAAAATCGCGGGAAACATGGCATGATGATTTTTCCTGTTACGCCTGTTTCACATTTGTAATGTGCAATCTGTGTTTGTATTTTGGCTGACAATATGCCTAAATGGACAAATATTTAATGGGTACCTTCTGCACAATGAAGCTTTTATGATGGTCATGAGGAACATGGGCAGCACAATGTAAATCAGTGGCTCTATTCCATTTAGTAAAGCTGTTTAGAGAGTAAAACAGGGCAAACCCAGAATTTGTATTCCATTCTTTATAAGAGCACACATTTTCACCTATTTTGTCGTGTTTTTTGTTCCAGTCTGTGCGGATACTGCCTATTCCATCTCCTGCATAAGAAGAATCCAGAAATGTTTAGCCAGCACTTCATTGAGTGCATCTTCCACTTCAACTCGTACAGCAAGCACAAGTCCTTCAACAAGTTTCCTCAAAGTGAGAGGTAGGAAACAGAATGTCTAACTTTTGTTTACAAAAATTCACTACTGCATACAGGGAATCCCATATCAAGTTAATTACTTATTTTTGTTTTTGACTATTTCCTTTAATGAATTAATTCTTTTGTGTAGAGAGAAAAATCGCTTTTCCCTGAAAGGAGCTCAGAACCGAGAGAAACGCTTTCAGATCTATCGCTTTCTATTGGAGCACTTCACAGATGCACAGCGTTTCAGTGTCACTAACAAGATCAACCAGACCATTTTGGGTAAGCGCATATTAAAAACGGAAAGATTAAAAAAAAAAAAAAATGTTCTTTTCTTTTTTACCCCAATATTATTTTTAAGGAAAAATACATAACTCAACATTTGTTTAGATAAGTTTGAATGTTGGCCTGGAATAGTCTACACTCGTGTTAAAAATGACATCTGTTAAAACAAATATTAGCCTTTAATTATCAATACTATGGTATTGAGAGAATAAAATATTGTATCATTAAATGTATTTTAATCACAGGTTCAAAATGTATTTACTCTTAACATAAATTAAACATATAAGGGCCTCTTACAATATTCTTTTGGATTGTAACAAAGTGTGTAGCTGGATTTTAAGCAACATCTTAATGTTATTTTTCTATACTATCCCAGCATGCTTTGCAGATGAGGAACTGCCACTGGATGCAGATGGAGCTGAAATTCTATCAGAGACTTTCAGCCTTTTGAGTCTGAAGGAGATGAAGCTGCAGACTACAACGACTCCTGCTGATGGGCCGACAGCAGAAGAGCAAGGGGAGGAAAATATGGCCACCATGGCCAAGGCTGTCCTCGAGGCTGCTAAGAGGAAGGTGGTGTCACAGGTGGGCAGTTTTTTTTTCACACAATTCTTTTACTTTTTTTACTTGTAATCACAAATGTTTAATGTTAAGAGATGTTTCGGTATTAGGCAATTATTACCTTTTTGTCTCAATGCACAGGTCCAGAAGAAGACCTTCATAGAGAACACAGTTCCTTTAATCATCAGCCTGAAGGGCTTGCTGGAGCGGAAACATTCTCCCATACTCAGAGACCTCATGGCCTACCTTCAGGTAAAGTGACCGTTGACATTTGAACGTTGTCTTCCACATTTGTCTGGTGACACTATAAAGATGAGCAAGGATCAAACCAGCACAGTTTTGCTTGGTTCTGATTTCCGCAGGCTGTTGTGAACCTTTAGTTAAATTTGAATTTATCCTATCAGGTGACAATGCAGGACTACCGAAAGGAAGTGAAGGAGTTCTTCTCTGGTGATGAGCAGCTGGCAGCTGAGATCGAGTTTGCTCTTAAGAAGGCAGAAAATGATCAAGAGATTCAGGAACAGATGGAAAAATGCAGCGTGACAGGAGACGCCACCAAAACGGCAGTGGCACAGGTCAGATGTGTGTGTGTGTGTGTGTATACATATATATGTGTGTGTGTGTATATATATATATATATATATACATACAAGACTGTCTCAGAAAATTAGAATATTGTGATAAAATTCTTTATTTTCTGTAATGCAATTAAAAAACATGAAATGTAATACATTCTGGATTCATTACAAATCAACTGAAATATCGTAAGGCTTTTATTGTTTTAATATCGCTGATTAAAAAACAAAAAAACAAAACAAAAAAAAACAATAAAAGGCTTGCGATATTTCAGTTGATTTGTAATGAATCCAGAATGTATGACATTTCATGATTTTTAATTGCATTACAGAAAATAAAGAACTTTATCACCATATTCTAATTTTCTGAGACAGTCCTGTGTGTGTGTGTGTGTGTGTGTGTGTGTGTGTGTATGTATATATATATATATATATATATATATTACTGAGTTTGTCAGCTGAGCCTGTATGTTGAATTCCTTTTTAGGAACAAAATAACTTTTATTTTTTTTATTTTTTTAAAAGTTCTGTTCAAGGTAAAATTTCTTTACGCAATGTGTCTAGTGTGTGCATATAGCTTCCCTTTGTGATAAAGTATTTTTTCATTATTAGACCTTTAATTCAATTTTCTTCTCACTTCAGGGTTCAGTCCAAGGTTCTCCAGTAAAGCTGAAACAACTCCAGCCATTCAACTTTGCTACACCACAGCCACTTCGTCCAAAGATTCAGCTCGCCAGGCTGGTACTAAGCGATCAGTAGGTTCTACTTTATAAATTTTGGTAATGGCATGGGAGTATGAAAAAGGCTTAGTTGTACATGAATACAGAAATGTGGTTTTTCCACATAGTTCAACATTCAGATTGTTTTTTTGTTTTGTTTTTTAGAATATTTATTTTTTTATTTTTTTATTACTGAGTCTGTCAGCTCAGCCTGTATGTTGAATTCCTTTATAGGTTATTTTAAAATAACACAGAGACGAACCATTGTCCTTTTTTTTTATTTATTTTTTTAGAAACAGTTCTGTTGAAGGTAACATTTCTTTCCACAATGTACCTGTCCATGCAAATAACATTGCCAGAAGAATTTTTATTTTTTTTTCTCTGTGTCTAGCAGGCGTGTGTCAAAAAAAGGGCGAGAAGAATATGACGAGGCAAAATCAATGACTTTGGATGGAACAGGTATAACATTCTTTAACAATAATTCACAGATGCACTGTAAATTCAAATAGGAGATTTTGGAATAGCCCAGCGCATGATGTTATTAGAGGCCATATTAGAGGCCTTATTATTGTCCATGACTGTCCTAGCCCTGTGCTTGACCCTGTCAAGCCCTGGATGCACAAAAAAACATCCAATTCACAGCTAGCTGAGAAAGCTGTACCGTGGATACAAAGATGGAGCTAAGCTTAAGGCAAATAGGCAGGAGTAACGAGGTGAAGAGGTGGAGTAACGAGCCTTTCCTGACATCTGTTATTTCGGGAAATCTAAAAAGTGTGACTACATGTAAGTGCTTGTTTGGAACCAGCAATTGTACAGGGAGAGGAGTTTGATTGTTTGTCTGAGTTCCATGCTGGAGGACAACACACTGGACTCATTTGGATTTAGAAGGGTCTAAAGCAAAGTGGATATTCAGTTTTTTTAAGAGAAGAAGTTTGAAAGGCAATAAGGAGTCTAAGGATTCTTGTGATTTGGAGATGTAGGTAGATTAAGGAGAACATCTTGTTGTTCTGCAGAAAATGGCCTCTTCAAATCTTATTGTAAGTGTGTTATCCTTATTTTTAAGATCAGAAATAGTGTGATTAGGTGAGGGTTGTCAGAGTTTAGGAGGAGCACAGTTTTACTCTGCTGAAGGAGTGCAATGGAATGCCTCTTAGTGCTTGTAGCTTCATTTTAGGTTTTCCACTACACATGACTGTTCAGCTAGATTCAGTTCTGCAGAGGTAAATCCACAAAAGTCATGTTTTGTTGCTTTCTTCATCCTGGAAGACCCCTTAAGTACAACTGTAGCTCCCTGCAATTGAACTTTATCTTTTCTGATTGCTGTATGTGTTAGGACTTCTTCCTTTCCTTTGAGACCGAGAGAGTGTGTCACATGATTGTTCTTTTAGAGTCAAGAACCACATGAGTGTTGAGCGATTTCTTCCCATTAAAAAGGTGAATAGTAAACATTTTCATCATCACTCGACCTAAATGGCCAGCTTGTAGATTATTTTGAGATCCTGTGTGTACCAAGTGTGGCCTAAGTCGTGGGTCATAAAGACTGCAGCAATTCCAGAGATTAGTTGAACTCTCTTTATTGATTACGCCAGATCTTTGTGTTGCTGTGTTGTCGTTTTTCTGCATATACAAATACAGTGAACAAATAATATATGTATTGGTGATTTTGGACAGATGCTGACCAACCTGGTCCGATTACATCCCTTAAAACTGCAGCTTCTATTAGGATCACTCTTCTTCCCGTAATACCAAATTATGGCAGAACAGGGAAGTTGCGCACTTGTGTTTTTATGGTGCATAGAGGTTTTTCTGGACCGCTCTTAGTCTGGCCCCTCCCCAAGAGATCTTTCTGCCAGGGGCATAGTTTTTTCATATGCCCAACATTTTCCTGCATAAGATTCAGGTCTGTTGGTAAAGTCTCGACAAGGAATAGCTCCTGGCGTGGGGAATTAAACTGTGGGACTATTATATTTAGATACTTCTGTTTAACACAGTTTACAGTCCCTTTTGTGCACGTGCCCATTAGAGCATGCCAACATTAATCAAGTCCGTCTGGCTGCAGACTGTAGGAAGCCAAGAGTGGATATCCAACTCCGCCCACATCCAAGTCGGCCATTTTTAGTACGTCACCAATAGGAAGAGCCCAGGCAAGAACATCGTAATTGCTTCATGGCAATATAGACATTAATTTAAAAATAGTTAAATGAATCTTGCAAACACTGAATTAAACTCTATACATAATATTATGTTCAAATAGTGTATGTTAAATAGGTTTGTACAATAAGTCCAAACAAGTTTAAGCAAAAAATATTTATTTCTCACAATTATGAAGGGTGGAGGGTTAGGGTTAGGGTTAGGGTCATTAATGCAGTAATAGGTCAGTTTGAAATGAAAGACACTAACCTGTCAAAATTCATTTAAATTTTGTGGGCTTTGTTTTTTATCCTTGTGGCATCAAAAATGGTATTGAGTATCGAATATTTTCCTGAGTATCAGTATCGAGTTGAAAATTTGCTTGGGGGAGTGGCATTACAGACAGAAACTGTCTATCTATGCTGACTGAATGCCTTTCTATTTTTTTAGTGATGTTGAATGCTGTAAATGATAGAGCCTTCAGCACACCAAAAGGTAAGTACACAATATTTTTCCTACTTTAGGCTACCATTTGGATACTTTTTAAAAAAAAAACTTAATGCAGAGACCAAAAATAAATGCTGCATTACATTTAACTGAGTAATTGTTGGTTTGCAAATCCATTGTAATATCTTGTTGAAGAAATATGACCTGCAACTCTTTAACTTGTCCTTTTTAATACTCCTCACAATGATCTAGGTGTCAACGTCAACGTAACATTTAGCGAAGGACTCAGCGCAATTTTCAGTGATCAAGGACCAAGTAAGATTCTCCAACTTGACTCTTCTAAATCATCTGTTAATAAACATCAAAGCCTTATCTGTGATAGAAATACTCTCCAGTGTCTTCAAATTTAAAACCAAACTGCCTGCTCTAAATAAATGTTTATTTTCCATGTCGTCACAGGTCTGAATAGGGAAACCAGTGTCCTTCATGTACAGCCAAATGAACAGCAGTAAGTTTTTTACTTAGTTGTGCACAATTTAAGTTTGAGCTGCAGCTTCGGTTCTTTGATTTCATCTCCATGTAGTTGATCTTGGAAGTGTCCAAATAGATGTCACTCACCTCACAAAATTCTTGTATGCTCTCAAATGAGACGATACCAATCCAAATTTGTTGTGCCAATTTTCAATTGGGAATGTCTCTGGAGTTCGGCACATTGGTCCATTTCATAGAATATCTTTGCAGTGATATAATTGGTTTTGCTAGAGATGAAGATAATACATACTACTTAGTTGTGAGAACCCTTAAAAGGGTGTTTTAATTCATATAAAAATAGTATTGGGGTTAGGTGTAGAAGTGGGATGTACATATTAATATATGTGTCTGTATGTGTGTATGTACAGTATGTATGTCTGTATGTGTATACATATTTATATTTATATATATATATATATATATATATCCTCAATACCTGCTTTATCCAATCCAAGTGTCTTCTCCAGGGTCAGTTAGCCAGGAAGTTGGAGTGGACATAGAGATTGCTTAAACTTTCAAAGGTTAGAACAGTATGACTAATTTTTGACTATCAGTAGATCAGACAAAGTACCTCTAACACTCAGGGATAATTTCATTTCCATTTCCATCGGGAGAACACGGAGGCAAAACTCTCCGAAAGGAATAATCATGTACATCTACAGTTGGATGAATAAAAGAGCAGAACCCAGCAGAACATCTTTTCATTCAGTTTGGACCTACTTTTAAATACATGGGCCAGTATGTCATCACATTATGAATTAAATTATACATTTTAAAATCTATTGTTTAATTCAGCCCACATGAAATTTGGGGTTCAGCCTCACGTTCAAGAAAATTTAATTTGGGCTGATTGCAAATTTACGCAAAATGGGAATGTAATGTGGAAAATAGACACTGAGCCCAAAGGTTATTTTTCATCGGAATATTTGGATTGATAATGCTGTTTCAATACTGTTAAACATCTTAAAGGATTAAATAATGTTCTTTTCTTGTTTCAGAGCACCTGCATTAAGGCAGTGGAATGTGCAGTCTCCGCTCAGACAAAAGAAAAGACGCTCCAAACTTTAGTTGGAACTTCATTATTCTTTTTTCATTTGATATTTTTTAATGTAATCTTTAAAACTACTACCACTGTTTGCTGACATCTTTTTCTGTCTTTATCTGCTAATATCCTTCCACTTTCTCTGACGTTTGTGTAGTAATTTTGTCTCTTTTTGAAAATAAAGGTTCTAAAGTAAATTATGTTGCTTGACTGATATTTCAAAAGAGATGTTTAAAAGAATTAAACATGATCAATTTAACTCTTAGGTATCAAGTGTGTTTTATGCACTTAATATTACAAATTTTCATTTTGAGAGTGAAACAAGTCTTTTCTTGAGGATGCAAAATATGGTAATTTTATTCAAACAGGACTTTGCTAAATGAGAGCATCTCAGCACGATGCACAAAGCAGTTCCTTCATAAAAATATGCTCAGATTATACAGATATTTAAAGTTTTAACCCTTTCGTGCGGGGAGTGAAACTTCAAACCAAGTCATTTACACTTTAAGAGAGGAGTTTATAATCATAGGATACTGTCAGCAGAGCTAAGACTCTTCAAGACTTTCAGTGGCTTACGAGATGAGACGTCCCAAAAGTTAAGATATTGCAAGTTAGTATGAATTAAGAGCTTGCAATCGTTCCAATTCAGTCTAATCGGATTTAGAAGCAGACCAGGACATAACCAAAAACCAGCTTTATGAACCAGGGTTCACCTTTATACAGAAGAGTAAAAAGGATTTAGTATCTCCTTACTAGATATTGCAGTATACAGGGGTTGGACAATGAAACTGAAACGCCTCTCATTTTAGTGTGGGAGGTTTCATGGCTAAATTGGACCAGCCTGGTGGCCAATCTTCATTAGTTTCACATTGAACCAATAAGAGCAGACTGTGAAGGTCCAATTAGCAGCCTAGGTAAGAGCACAGTTTTGCTCAAAATATTGCAATGCACAAAGCATTATGGGTGACATACCAGAGTTCAAAAGAGGACCAATTGTTGGTGCACGTCTTGCTGGCCCATCTGTGACCAAGACAGCAAGTCTTTGTGATGTATCAAGAGCCACGGTATCCAGGGTAATGTCAGCATACCACCAAGAAGGAAGAACCACATCCAACAGGATTAACGGTGGACGCAAGAGGAAGCTGTCTCAAAGGGATGTTTGGGTGCTAACCCGGATTGTATGAAAAAAAAATAAAACCACGGCTGCCCAAATCACGCCAGAATCAAATGTGCACCTCAACTCTCCTGTTTCCACCAAAACTGTCCGTCGGGAGCTCCACAGGGTCAATATACACGGCCGGGCTGCTATAGCCAAACCTTTGGTCACTCGTGCCAATGCCAAACGTCGGTTTCAATGTTGCAAGGAGCGCAAATCTTGGGATGTGGACAATGTGAAACATGTATTGTTCTCTGATGAGTCCGCCTTTACTGTTTTCCCCACATCCGGGAGAGTTCTGGTGTGGAGAAGCCCCAAAGAAGCGTACCACCCAGACTGTTGCATGCCCAGAGTGAAGCATGGGGGTGGATCAGTGATGGTTTGGGCCGCCATATCATGGCATTCCCTTTGCCCCATACTTGTGCTAGATGGGCGCGTCACTGCCAAGGACTATCGAACCATTCTGGAGGACCATGTGCATCCAATGGTTCAAACACTGTATCCTGAAGGACGTGCCGTATATCAGGATGACAATGCACCAATACACACAGCGAAACTGGTGAAAGATTGGTTTGATGAACATGAAAGTGAAGTTGAACATCTCCCATGGCCTGCACAGTCACCAGATCTCAATATTATTGAGCCACTTTGGGGTGTTTTGGAGGAGCGAGTCAGGAAACATTTTCCTCCACCAGCATCACGTTGTGACCTGGCCTCTATCCTGCAAGAAGAATGGCTTAAAATCCCTCTGACCACTGTGCAGGACTTGTATATGTCATTCCCAAGATGAATTAACGCTGTATTGGCCGCAAAAGGAGCCCCTACACCATACTAATGAAGTATTGTGGTCCAAAACCAAGTGTTTCAGTTTCATTGTCCAACCCCTGTATGTTGTGATGTTGCACACTTGATCTTTTGCAGTTGGGTTTTAATTTCTTCTCAGCAGTCCTATTGTATTCTTGGTGATTTGTGTAATTATTGACCTATTGATATTGTAGTGCTTAAAGCATTCAATTGTCGATGTACTGTATGTGCCATAAATTGATGGTTCAAAGTTTAAAAGTAAAACGGAAAATAAATCTGTTTCTGCATTGTCAGCCATGTCAAAATATATTTTTGTTCCAAGGGATCTGAAAAATAAATGAGTAATATCCAGAATGATGGTCACAAGTATACATGCATGTTCAAAACAGATAATGGAGATAGTAAAAAATGTATCAACCATAGCATTTGTATAAAATCTTTAGTTAGTTACCTATCCAGAATTAAATGTGCAAAGAAAAATCAAAACACTTGGTATCCAAGTAACTGAAAGAGTATTCATTTCTGATTTATTTAGATGGTAAAGATCTTAAAATACCTTAATTCAAATATTGGTTTGCAAAATATATCAATGGAAGAACAATTTATATGCATTTCATCTTATCCTTGTCCAGGAGAAACACGTGGTAACATTAAAAACGGTTTCTTAGATAAGTTGTTATTCCTGTTCAAATGTATTTTTTTTTTCTCTAAATTAGTGTAGGCTGCTATTATCTGACAATAACCACTAGATGTCAATGTGGTTCCATTGAGGTATTTATTTTTCTAAATTACCATTGTTATCTAAGTGTAACTTGTATCAAAAGAAAGGTATGGATCTTAAATAAAACTTAAACTTAAATGAATCATCAAACAGCTATCATAATTATAGTAGTTTCAAAAGGAAGACATTTATAAAAGAGAACGGCCCTTATTCGAAAATCTTTTATACCCCTTAATGTACGAGATGCCTTTTGTCATTTTGCTCTTTATTTTGAGGTTGAGATTGTTAGATAGTCTTTCTTGATGGGTAAATCATACGGTCAGTCTTTTTCCTAGTTATACTTATTATAATGAACACTAATTATCACATTGAGAACCTGCTCATTGTTTTAAAGCATCTGTCTCTACCTGTCACACCATCTTGTTCTCACTCTTAAATTAAACACAAATATTGTAACAACACGATTTGTACTTTCATTGTGGTTTTGTCTGCTCTGTGTAGCTAGATCAGATTTAGTCCTGTCCTATAATAGAATTTAAGCAGTGCTAGTTGGATGTGAACAGAGGAAAACTGAAGCACAAGTCATAAAAACTTTTTCCTGAACAACAATTTCTAATGTGATTTTTTTTTTAAACAATCAGGTTACCTATGTACATTATCTTGGTAAAAGCATTTTAGAACTTAATTAAAAAGAAGTCACTCCTCTCTTAAAGCACGTTCAAATGTAGCACAATACAACCCTACATAGAGGTAAATGTTATTTTGAATTTTTTTTTAAATAAACAGTTTTAATATCAACTTAAAGGGTATTTACCATTATTTCAACCTTGAAACCATATTTTGTATAATGGAATAGTTGTGAAAAAAAAAATCAAAACTGGAGGCTTGAGGATGACAAAATTAAATTGATAGATATTATTATATCAATTATTTTATTTAATTGCTCATGACCATATACATGGTTTGGAGCACAAACAATAAATATAACAGAACAAAGTAACGCATATACATTAAAACTATAACATCATCGATATAATGGGAGGACCCATTTCATAAAGGCACCCAACTTACAAGTTATTTTCTTTTTTCCAGACTGAAATAATGAAACCATTTTAAACATCTATGGGCTCTTCACATAATACTGTGGAAAATACTTCTCTCTGTAATGACATATTTCTACATTTTTACCCTCAAACAAAACATGGTACTCATCTCCAACGCAGTTATCTGGACAGAGTTGACATAATCTTAACTTTCTCTCTAAACCTTTAGGGATTCTAGTGTTGTTTGTTCTAAGGTTACAGATGGCCTGCCTACTGTATATCCAAGGTTTTCACATAAGTATTTTTCAAATTTACTGTATATTCTTGCTTAATTTCTGCATAAATATCACAAGATGTCATTTGCCTAATTTCACTTTGCCAATTTTGAATGTGAAGGTCTTTTAGTGTCTGTTCGACAGTTAGTTTCAACCAGTTTACATTATTAACAGTCTGTGAGGTCCAGATGTAGGACAGACCACAGTGATTTAGTATTTGTTTGACCTGCTGAAGCCATGGTGAAATGTATTCACCTGCATTAAACATATGATAGAGAAGGTTGCATATCTGTCGGTTAAGTTTACACTCTTTGCTCAGCAGTAATCTCCCCCAATATCCAACAATTATTTTTTTTAAATGTGATACTTACTGGAAACCTCCCCAACTTTCCTTATACCATAGCACCGCAGGTGGACATCTGTACTCTAAGAACATATTTTAAAAACTTCAGATGCAGTTTCTCAAGCACATCCACTCTTTCAAACCCCCACACTTCGCAGGCATATAACATAACTGGTGTAACTAATCTGTCAAAAAGATCCAAGGTGACATCCATTGTTGGGTACCGCCAAAGATGAAGTCAAAGTACATGTTAGTTTGGGTTGGGGGAAGGAATAAGAGGTCAAGATAAAAGTGGATTTCCTTCTCTGTCTATCACAGGAGTGTCTATCTTATTTGCCACTCCCAATCCATAACAGAAAATTACTTTTTGGGGGGGGTTTGAATTCCTTATTTGGCCTTTTAACAAAACATGTAAAAAGAAAAAACTAAAATAAATTTTTGATATCAATAATTTATTACTATGCGATAAGTCAAGATTATTTTTTGGTGTAGTCTTCTGCCCCCTGTTTTCAGGTGTATCTGATTGTGTACGATAGGATTTTGAACAAAGTTTTTACCACTAAATTATGCAAAAGGAGTCAGAGTCAGACGCAAAACATTTCAGAAACCGTATGTATCAAATATGATACAGTTGGCGTTATAGGGTTAAACTACAGAGTTGCAGTAGCGGAACATAAAAAATAATAAATTGAGGGTCGCCATTCACCTGTGGTGCATTGCCAATACATCACAGGTGAATGGCCTAATCAAGCATTTAATCCTAAATTCCTCCATACTTCCTCCATACTCCCGATTTCTACGTTTCTTCTCAACCACTGTCCCTGTAGTCTAAGCAACTGCCTTTTAAAACCCTTAATATTTCTTCATGCCTACAAACCTGCTCCCCAACAAGCGTTGTCCACTCTTTGGGAAGGTTTGTCTGACCCAAACCTCAAGCCTCCCTGAGCTATTTGGAACCACATTCCTCATTACATCATCTTTACTCCCTACTAACAGCAGTTCTGTCCTAGCCTTAGTACATTTAAAGTAATCTACTAGACTAGATATTGAGAACTGGGGTATACCTTTCCTATGTATTGCCGCAGTAATTAAAACATCTAGGAACCCCTGGCCACTTCCTCATGCAACAGTTCCACTTTCATTGCAGTAGGTAAAGTTCCTAAAGATGTTAGTCATGCTTTTAGTTTTCTTCGGGTCAGACAACAATAACCCACAAGAGTGTTTTTACCTTGTTGACATGTTTCGGCTGCTAGCTGCAAGCCGTCCTCAGAACTGTCACCGGTGGAGTGGGTGACGTGCCAATAACAGTTGTTACTTCCTGTAGGCGTGGCCAGCCTGTACAGACAGGTGACAGTTCTGAGGACGGCTTGCAGCTAGCAGGTAAATGTCAAGGATCAAATCCGGAAATCCTGTAGTGACAAACTGATAAGTGAGTTTCTCATGTCAACAAGGTAAAAACACTCTTGTGGATTATTGTTGTCTGACCCGAAGAAAACTAAAAGCATGACCAACACAGATGAAGACAAGAAAAACTTAATACAAGTAAGTCCTAACGATGTTCTTCAGCAACATCTTTCATAAACTGCACAACCTGCTCTCTGTTATTCAAGTCTGACTGTTATCACTTACCTAAACTCTTTATTGACTTTTCCCTAATAATCCCTAATTCTTGCTTTATCTATTACATTCTTTCTATTACTGGCACTGTTGTAGACACAGACATGCCATCCTGACTTCTTTCTGTATCTACAACCCACTTAGAATGTCTGGTAATTATCTCCATTGGTATTGTAAATGCTAATGGTGAAACTGTACACCCTTTCCGTAATGCATTCATTCCGCAAAACCCGCTAAACTAAGAATATATTTTGAGAACATTGGACTGTGCCTAAGTTCACAACTACTATCGGCACACTTTGTGAATAAGGCTAATTTGGCACTGAAAAAAATGCATTTGTTGAGTTTATTTTTTCTATCAAGTCCTTTTTCTCAATGTTGGTTGTCTGAATCTCATGCCAATCCCCTCTATACACCCTGCAAACATCTGTATCTATTAGGCCATTCTTTTCTAAATAACTAACTAATCTCTGGGCGACAACATTAAAAGTCCTCCCCATTACATTTAGGAGAGAGATGTTTTAGAACTGACCCAGGTCCGAGGAATCCTTTTCATTTGGAAATCAATTTTTTGGAATAAATATAAGATTGTTTGAATTGCAAAAGTGTTCGTGAAAAAAACGTCTGCGATTATAAACAGTTAAAAATTCCAGCTTGCTCTGTAGTCCATGTAATCTTACATGAATTGTACTTATTTATTATTCAATATAAGATATGAATTTGAAATTCCAGGAGATCCAGGACCAAATCCGGAAATCCTGTAGTGACAAACTGATAAGTGAGTTTCTCAGCTAAAAACCAAGGAAAGCTGATGATGATGAAGGTTTGCCATAACAGGATCCAGGAGGAACCAGCAGTTGCAAGACAAGGTGAAGATAAATTATGTAATTATGTAGAGCTAAGACTCGGTGGTATTTCCAGATACAGATTAATACGTAGGCCTTAGCCCCCCCAAATGGAGATTGTGTTGGTTGACGAAAGAAGAAAGTAGTAAAGATGGATGGATGGATGGATGGATGGGGTGTTTGCAATCGATGGCAACATCAAGAGGAAATAAGTTGAAAAAACTTTATTTGAATTGAAGGCAGCAGTGGTGCTAGTGGTAACTGCAACCATTAGGACAGCGGTTAAAAAAAAACGACTGGATAGAAAAATTCTTAGACAATACAGTATCTAATACTACACTTATTTGCTTACTGAAATAAGTCATTTGTAACTTAATCAAAAAATCAATGTGGCAGTTTCAAACAAAATTTCATTTCATTAGTTTTTGTTAATTCCTGAATTGTAGATTGTTTGTTTATTTATTGTTTGGTGGATTTCTAATGAGTATTTTCTGTTTAATTTCAGTTGTTTCGAAAAAGTTTGAATGTTAGACATTTGCTTAGTTTATGTATTTTTTTTGTTATATGGGTATGGGTATTTCACACAATATGTAGGGTTTAGACAATTCTGGATGTACGTTTAGGGTCATATGATTTTTTTCCCCAGTAGGGATGCATCAAGGAGAGCAGGAGAGACAAAGGAATCCCCCCAAATTTTTTTTTTGTTTGCCTGCCAACTTGTGAATAAATGGACCAAGGAACTGCATTTTGACTTTTTTGAGAAACCTACGTGCAACAAGTTACTATTTGAGTTATATTTGCCTTCAGTTTGATCAATGGAGTTAATTTTTTGGTTTTCATGAACCAAAAATCAATTTTTAGATTTAATGTTTTCCATTTCGTAGCCAATGGTCCAAGTTTTTAAACGGGAAAAGCACGGGGTAATTTAATTGCCTGACTGGCATCTGAATTTTATATTCAATACAGCAGGTTTCAGGCTAGCTGACTGGGTTTAGATTTTTCATCCTGAAGTGGTAACTGATTGTAGAGAGAGAATGTAAGTGCTAAAGAGAAGGATTTTCTGAACAAGACCAGCTATTCATACAGCAACAGCAGAGGTACAGTCACAGGATTAAGAACCGTATAATTCCTAGCGGGTGGTTGTAACTCAATGAATAGTCACAGTAAATGCAGCTTTTTTTTCCTCTAACTGGAAGAAAAAAAAAAAGCACCCATATGAACAGAGTTAAAGTTCATTTGCTAATTTGTGATGTTTCTATGTGGTGACCTTTATAAAGTTGCATCTAGGTACAAAATGAGTGGCTTTACATGACGATTTCCTTTTATTTATTTTTCTGCGCTTTTAGATTTTTAAATATATTTGACTCAGGCTTGTGGTTTTGAATGGGCGTTATGGATAGAATGTGACAGAGTGTGTAAATTCTTTATAGGGAAGAAAAACCTCTATTTGTATATTACAAACTCCACCTCCCAACCAAACCCCACTTAACTTTCTCTAATCTCCTGTACACCGTGTTTCATATTCAATTTCCACTCACAGACCTCTTCCTTCAAACTTCCCTCTTATCCCCTGTTAAATTTTCCGTGTATCCGACTTAGTTTTTGGTTTCTGTGTTGCTTCCATCAGACCTTCCGCATCTCTTTTTCTTTTCAATCTATTCACGTTTTTTCCCCCTTGTCCTTTCCTCTCCTGGTTTCTCTCCTGTCCTTATTTGTAAATGCAGTTAAGGCTAATTACTTCCATCAGGCTTTTCTCTCAGTCTGTCACGCTGATTTCCATCATGTGATGATACTGTTTGGGCTTGTTATTTGGGGCATGTGGACAACTAATTTGTGGAGGAGCGGCCTAACATATTGCACATGAACTACCAAACAACCTTTATCTGTGCTTTGGGAGCTTTTGTAACCACGCCTGCTACTACAGCTATGACAAACTCTGCTGTATAGAGAAAATCCTTCTGAAATTTGCTGTTTGAGACTGCTACATAGATTTGTTAAATGGCTGAGGAGGTATTAATTCCGTCACCAGGAAAAATCACATCGGTAAGTTAAGACTGTGAATATGGTCAGATGCAATGTTGTGATCTACTTTTCCTTTTGATTGAAAACTGAGTTATTTGAGCATAATGGAAAAGTTTGTAATTCAGATAAATATTACTCACTGAGAAACAAAATTTGATTTACATTATTTCATGGCTTACAATTACATACAATTAAATACATACAATTTATGATTCTTAAATAAAAAAGGTGTAATTACACAGAAAAATATAAAGTAGATGTAATTTGTTTATGCATGGCATCTGATCTGCTGTTATTTTGCCAGTATTATACATTTTGTAATCATAGTTCACTTTTTCAAAATATATTTAAAATCTCATTTTTTTTACGGTCATGCAAAGCTATTTTGTGGAAATCATTGATATTGAAGCTCTGTCAATAATTTGTTCTGAAAACTATCATATATATAATATAATATAATCTTCATAGTTGTACCTTTCAAGCAGTTGTGTCATTAACATTGCATGTGTGAGTGTTCGGCGGTGGCCATTATTTTGCTACTCATTTGCATCCGTGCAACACTTACATCATATAATCTCAAAGAAATGTGCATCATTATTATGTAAAGTTTTTTTGTGAATTCATTGACTGCATAAAAATTGGTCACCTTTTATCTTAGAGAAATGAATTGTAACCACATGAAAAGCAAAAATTGAGCACGAGACATCAGCTTGATTACATACAGTATGTTCACATTCAAGTAGACATCTCATTAATTATAATGCAAACTGAATCGTGAATTTGGTCATTTCAATCCACGATGCAGTGTGATTACTGTTTTCCCAAAAATATCAAGATAATACTTACATATTTAATATTTTAATATACTTATTTATTTATGAACATTGTATTCAGCTCTACAACTAATACATAATACAGAAATATTTTCTCTCATCAGTACTGTTGTACTTCAACAGGAACTGTTTACATCTATTCTGTGGTTCCAAGAATACCCACCATGAAATGGGTATAGTAATGGGTGAGAGCGTACACCCAATGTAGGTCATATCGGGTAATAGAACACAATTTTTACCCTATTGCTCGGAATTAAAATTTGGCACAGGAGAGGGAACTTTGTTATATCAAACACTGTGTTGAATGGTAGAACATGGCAATGAATGATTTTATTGTCTCAATTCTGAATATTTCAAACTAGTGATGATAAATTTGAAAACTGTGCTGTATATAGTCATATATGTATACAGTAGTTAAACATTTGAATTTATTTATCCTTTATTTAACCAGGAAAAAATCCTGTTGAGATTAAAAAACGTATTTTTCAAGGGAGTACTGGCCAAGAGGCAGCAAAGTTACAAATCGAACAGAAATACATTTATATTACATTAAAATAAAAGGTACCTAAGAAAAGCAAGCAAAACAATCAGAATCAGAATCAGAATCAAAATCAGGTTTATTGCCAAGTAGGTTTTCAGACTTACAAGGAATTTGCCTTGGTGTTTAGTGCACAACACAACACTTCTATGAGAAGCAAGAATAAAAAGTAGAAATAAAGATATAGGGCAGAATGATAAAACTGAAAAATACAATCTTTAAAAGTATAAATCTGAATGTACAAATTAACAATCTTTAAAAATATAGATTTGAATGTGCAAATTAACAATTGAAATGTGCAATGTTGATCTGCAACGACAGACCAGAAAATGCTGGAGCATTGGGTAAATTAGTGAGGTAGAGGGGGGGGGGAGAAGAATAGGTGGGGGTCGCTGGTATTGTTGATGAGGCCAGTTGCTGTTGGATAAAAACTGTCTTTATGGCGTGAGGTTTTGGTCCTGATGGTCCTCAACCTTCTGCCAGAGGGGAGAGTTTCAAAGAGTTTGTGACCAGGGTGAGAAGGATCAGACATGATCCTTCCTGCACGCCTTAAAGTCCTGGAGGCGTACAGGTCCTGAAGGGATGGCAGATCACAGCCAATCACCTTCTCGGCTGAGCAAATGATACGCTGCAGTCTGCCCTTGTCCTTAGCGGTGGCAGCAGCGTACCAGATGGAGATGGAGGAGGTGAGGATGGACTCAATGATGGCTGTGTAGAAGTGCACCATCATTGCCTTGGGCAGGTTGAACTTCTTCAGCTGCCGCAGGAAGAACATCCTCTGCTGTGCTTTCTTTGTGAGGGATCTGATGTTCAGCTCCCACTTGAGGTCCTGGGTTATTGTGATCCCCAGGAAACAGAAGGACTCCACAGAAGCAATTGTGGAGCCACACAGAGTGATGGGAGCAGGTGGTGCTGTGTTCTTCCTGAAGTCTACAACCATCTCCACTGTCTTGAGCGCGTTGAGCTCCAGGTTGTTGGCTGCACACCAGGACACCAGACGGTCGATCTCCCACCTGTAGGCGGACTCGTCCCCATTTGAGATGAGTCCGATGAGGGTCGTGTCATCCGCATACTTCAGGAGCTTGACAGACTGGTGGCTGGAGGTGCAGCTGTTGGTGTACAGGGAGAAGAGTAGGGGGGAGAGAACACAGCCCTGGGGGGATCCAGTGCTGATGGTCCGGCTGTTGGAGGTGTGGCTTCCCAGCCTCACATGCTGCCTCCTGTCAGATAGGAAGTCGGTGATCCATCTGCAGGGGGGGTCAGGCACACCCAGCTGGGAGAGCTTGTCCTGGAGTAGAGGGGGGATGATGGTGTTGAAGGCAGAGCTAAAATCCACAAACAGGATCCTGGCGTAGGTGGCCGGGGAGTCCAGGTGCTGGAGGATGAAGTGGAGAGCCAGGTTGACAGCGTCATCTACAGACCTGTTGGCTCTGTAGGCAAACTGCAGTGGGTCCAGGTGTGGGTCTGAGATGTCTTTCAGGTGGGCAAGGACAAGGCGCTCAAATACCTTCATCACTACGGAGGTCAGGGCGACAGGTCTGTAGTCATTGAGGCCTGAAATCTTTGGTTTTTTGGGGACGGGGATGATGGTGGAGGTTTTGAAGCAGGCGGGCACATGGCATGTCTCCAGCGAGGTGTTGAAGATGTCAGTGAACACAGGAGACAGCTGGTCTGCGCAGTGCTTCAGGATGCTAGGAGAGATAGAGTCGGGTCCAGCTGCTTTGCGTGGTTTTTGTTTCCTGAATAGACTGGATACGTCCCTCTCCTGGATGGAGAGAGTCATGGTAGTTGACGGAAGGGGGTCCTTCAATGTGGGCAGTTGAGGGTGGGGGCAGGCCCCCGCTGAGGTGGGGATGGGGGTGCAGGAGGGCAGGGGCTGGTGGTGGCGGGGGATGGTTTTGGTGTTAGGACTGTCCCATTGTCTTTCAAATCTGCAATAGAAGTCGTTCAGCTCGTTTGCCAGACGCAGGTCGTTGACAGAGTGGGGGGGTTTAGGTTTGTAGTTGGTGATCTGCCTGAGCCCCTTCCAGACAGATGCATATAACTGAGGCTGTCTCAAATTATCTCATTTTAAACTTAGAGGCAGTTAAGGATAACAACTCAGTCAACATCCAGTCTCTTTGTAGAAAAAGTCCACACACAAGGAGCTGTAAAGATAAAGGCTTTCTTCCCCTAGCTGTGTGCAGGAAAAAGGAAGAGTGATCAAAAGCTAATTATTGGATCTAAGGGCATAAGAGGCCAGGCTTCTCTGTGTAAGTAAAGCACAAATTTAAGAGGGCAGTAATCCAAGAAGGGCCTTGTAAATAAAAAAGGTCACCATAATCTAAGACAGATAAAAAATGTGGCAGAGACAGCGCTCTTTTTTTCTCCAGAAGAAAAACACGTAATTATGAAAGAAACCCAATTCAAGTTTAAATTCTTCACAAGTTTATCAATAAATGGTTTGAAAGTGATGAACTCATCAATTACAATTCCAAGGTATTTATATCCATGTACAACTTCAATGACATGCCCTTCCAGAGTGGACACGACCGGCACTACCTTTTTATGATTTGAAAACAACATTAACTTTGTCTTGTCAGCATTGAGAAATAATTTGAAATTAATGAACAAATTCTGTTCAGCAACAAAGTCTTTCTGTAGGGAATTAGCAGCCTGTTCAAGAAAATACCATAATCAATAAATAATTGTATCATCGGCATAAAAATGCATTTTAGCATCAGAGAAATTTTGTTGAACATAGTTGATGTACAAGATAACAAAGATTTAAACTTTTTAAGATTCCTTCTGCAAACAATACAGGGTTTGCATTTTGGAATCCTAGTCTTTCTACATGCAGAAACAACACAATGATCACTTAGGTCATTACAGAAGACACCCAAGGAAGAGAATTTATGAGGAATGTTAGTTTAGATCGAGTTAATCATGGTAAATTTATCTGGACTATCTGGTGGGAAAGGTGACTAACGGGGTGAGATTAATAGAATTACAAAATCTTTTAAATTCATCAGATGTTGCATTTAACCTGTTGCCTTTGAAATCTCCTGCCAGAATATTTCAGTGTGATTGAACTCATCTTAAAAGCACTTTTAATGAATAAAGTGCCTCTTTTGAAGCAGATGGCGGCTTGCAACACCCAGCCACAGTAAGATATAGCGATTAGACTATTTCTACATTCAAGGTGAAAATTTTGATTTGCTTACTGACAACTGAGAACAGACAATTGGATTTACTTAGTAAATTACTTTGGATAAAAACGTCTGCATAAACATAATTAAATCTTGAATTAACATTAAAGCAACCCCCCCACCTTTTTTACCTATCAGTGCGGGTTGCTGTTGGGTTGTTTGTTTGGGTCTTATCGAAAGTCTGATTGAACTTTCTGGGAGTTCAGCAACCACGTTTCCGGGCTTTTAAGACAGTTCTACAGAAAATAAAATCAATTGCAGGTGCATTCACCTGAGTGTTTGAAGTGAAGTCACTCAACTCTTTTGGGACAAGCTTTTCTCAATTAACAAGAATCAGTGTAATCTAACAAAAACATGCTGGCTCCTTGTCAAAAATTGACTTTGTGTCTAAATGGATGCATGTAAAAACAAAGAATTACAGACAAGTAACACAGGTAACACAAAATGATTGACAAAACAATAAACACACTAAAATCTTATTTAGACTTTTACTCTTGTTCTTTTTTTGTCACCTTCTCTTTCGTGACTAATTTCCAGTAATTCCTGAGTGTGATTCATGGTAACAGGGACGTGAGTTGGGCTTCACTTAGTTTTCAGTCACAGATATGCATAAAAACGTAACAACTTTTGTTCTGCATAGAAAGCCTTGACCAAAATGTGTAAAAAGTCCATAGTATTGTGCACTGTGTTATATCATGGATAGTTATTTCTAGATAAACTTGGCAAAACATAATAAGAATGCCTAAAAATATCTCATTAAAATATCTCATACGTTCAGTCATCAGACAAAATGGTCATATGTATGTAAATCAAAACATTTTACTTTGAAATTTAACTTTAATAATGTACATTTATGCCTTAACTACTTTTACATTAATAGTCCACAAGATAGAACTTGAGGCCAAGGCTCATTTGAGTCTTGTTGAATGTATACATGATGAAGGGATTTTGTAGACCAAATACATAATTTTTGTTAAGTAGTCAGGCTATAGCAACTTTAGTGATGTTTAGTTATAGTCAAAATAAGAATGACTTGTTTCTCTCTGGTTATGTAAGTGTTGTATATTTTACAGTGGCATATCCAGACAGGGAACTCAGCCAACTCTTATAATAGCTAAACCGTAAAAACTTAATTAAAGTTAGTTACAGACCTTCAATTCAATTTCAGATTTTATAATACATCTTTACGTCTGTGTGGAAATGAATATTTTATCCTTTTTTCACAGCACCTGACTGGCTCTCTGTTAGCAGTGGCATTCCTCACCTCATTTGGAAGCTCAATGCTCTATGGCTACAACCTTGCTGTCGTCAACTCCCCTGCTGTAGTACGAGACACACACACACACGCACAGACACACACGCACACTAACACATTGTCACATAGATTCTAAAAGCCTGTTGTGATCACTTACTAATTTTTGCGGGAAGTAAAACTTGTACAGAGGGACATATTTTTGTGGAGAGGTGCCTTATTTTCACTTATGAAAGATTTAATGTTTTCTGCTAAGACTTGGACTAATTTTAAAGTAAAATGTACTAAACAGTATGATTAATGGTGTGTTCTTATCTCTTCACATTTTTATCAGCACCTGCATATTTAAAAAAAAATCATAGTGAACACAAAACATGTTCAATAGAATAGTGCCTAATACTTCCAAAATAGTGAGATTTTATGATGGCATACATACATAACATACAGTCAGTACAAATTAAAAAAACTTTAATTGAAACGTAATATATTTTCAATACCTGATCCGTATTTGCATTGCATGTCACACAATAGTAAATTCTCATCCATGGTGTCCAGAACTGTGCTTTCTCATATGTGGCTTGTTGAATTTATTTGTTTATTTTTGCTCTTTTTCATTGTCCTGGGACACAAAGCAATGCATGGCTCCAATAATAGGAATTACTCTCTCAAACAGAACCGGTGTCAGTTTCCCATTAATCGAGGCAGGCTTGGAGACATCCATCCAACACAGTTTCAAGCTTCTTACATGGAAATACGGATTGTAACAAAAAAAAAAATCATAGTAGTGCCTCTGAAGTTCATCTCAGTATATTTAAGATCTGAAACATTAAAAAAAACTTGAGAATCAACATAAGTCATATTAAATACTTGAATATTAAGATTTACCTAAAGGCTTTGATTGTTTTATTGACTTTTTGTGTTTGTTTCAGAATTTTAAATCATAGTAATTTAACATCACAATAATTTTACAAATTTTCCCAAAAATTAAAAAAAAAAAAAACTCCAAGGCTTAATATCCTTTTACACAGTGGATTTTAATTTATTTGAATATAGAGTGTATTTATCAGGATTGTGCTATTTTTCCTGATCCCAGTTAAACCATCAAGACATTTGCCACTTGCCTCAAAATTGCACTGTAGTACATCAAATATGGAATCATCCAATTTTTCACTTTGTCTTTTGCTATCAGTATATAAAGAACTTCTACAACAAGACAGTGTTGAGTCGTAATGGAACAGGACTCAGTGGAGAGACCCTCACCCTAATGTACTCTCTCACGGTTTCGGTCTTTGCGATTGGAGGCCTGTTGGGTTCTCTCATTGTGGGGATGCTGGTCACTCGCTTTGGCAGGTATTAAATTCATTAGCACCATTCACTGTTTTATTTTATACTATTCTCATGCTTAAAATACTATGTGAAATTCAGTGTAGAAACTATGCAACCACACAATTTGTATTACTGAATGTCAAATAATCCTTTGAATAATTGCTTTATTTATTCATGGTAATCATGCTCACGTTTTCAAACCCTCTTGGTTTGAAGTCCACAACTAAATTCAGGCACTGCCTATGATCTGGAGCTGCACGTGTCTATTTGTGTGCAGTCTAAGTAATGTAGTTTCATGAAAACTCAAATCAATCTATCTAGCTATTCTTTTTTTAATGATTCTGTTTTTCTTTAGGAAGGGCACAGTGGTAAAAACAACAGTCCTAGTGTTTATTGCTGGCTCATTCATGGGCTTCAGTAGAATTTGTGGATCCCCCGAGATGGTCATTCTTGGTCGCTTCATTACAGGAATTCACTCAGGTATGAGCAAGCAAACATTTCAACAGCTGAACATAAATGTATTGACACACTCTTGCTCTACTTTTTGAAAGGTGAATGTCTGATTAGGTGTGACGCTGATCCTGTGAGCAAATCATTCACAATTTCAGACTTTTCCATCTTTACCTGGATGACATAAGTATTTTGAATATGTTTAGATTGTCATATATGGCCTCTGCATTTTAGCTCTTTGTTTGTAAAATGAGTAATGAGAGGTTTGAGATTTTTTCTAAAGTAATCTTAAGAGAATTTTTTTTAATTAAGAACCAGGTTTGCCTTTTTTTTTCCAGATTTGTGAAACTTTTAATCAAAAACTTCCTAGATCCCTTGACTTGTTCAGTCCTAAAACCATTACATAATGAATATAATGCGTTGTTTTTTTTGTTGTTGTTTTTTACAATGTATTTTATTCCTACAGGTATCTCTCTAAGTGTAGTTCCAATGTACCTGGGAGAGATAGCACCAAAAAACTTGAGGGGGTTCCTTGGTCTTGTTCCAAGTATCTTTATTGGCACTGGAGTCTTTGCTGCCCAAGTACTTGGCCTCCATGAACTTCTGGGAAAGGTAGCCTAACAGATTTTTATTTTCACAACATCCAGAGAGTATTCGAGAAAAAATCATCTTTGCTACTATATTTTCAGAAAATGAGTTGTTTAGTGTAAAAAATAGACCATGACTTGCATAAGACAAGTGCAATAATGCATTAAATATTTTTTTTAATTGAGTTACCAGTTACCAAATGTACTTCCTCAAAAAACTGTAACGAAAACAAACCAGATCGCTTACTAAAACAGATTAATGTAAAGGATTGGTGGGTGGCCCGAGAAATACTGACTTCATGTTCAGAAACACAAATACAAGGTCTTCAATTTTGTAAATGTTTTACATCGTGCCATGAGATGGAGAAATAAATGCATAGTGTATGAAACTGCAGGTGAGATGGATTACAAAGAGAAAAAATGAGTTAAACTAGAAACAACATCCATCAGAGCCAATTGTATTTTGTGCTTAAGGTTTATGTAGACAATTTGAAATCTTTATAGCATTATTTTTCTGCCTTCATGTAGGTTCACTCTGTCTTAAAATGAAAATGATAAGGGATTAAACTAGTGTCAAACAGTGTTTTAAAGGGGCAACATTTATTTCATACTATCTGGACTTTTCATAATTTAATCCCACTTACAAAGAGTACTTGAATTAAACTAAATGGCAGAAAGCTAAAGCAGGCAGCATTCTAATCAGATGCTGAGATTTAGGGCACAGAGTGGATTACTCTACTTAAAGTTCCCCTGGATAAAAGACCCACAACCCGCCAGGCATGGTGAGGGCCCCCGAAACTTCCAACTGCGGTTGACCACCAAAGCCCACAGACCCAGAGATACACCTTGAGGCCACTGACCATCTAGTTTACAGCTGAGGACTTTGATAATTGAACGCTCTGGCTCCCATTCTACTTTTGAAGACTCTAAACCACAAGTAACCCTTCATTCTGGGAGCGCAGTTCTCTGGTAGGGCAGTAAGGTACTAAGAGCTCTTTAAGATAAGATGGGGCCTGACCATGAAGAGCTTTGTATGTGAGAAGAAGGATTTTAAATTTTACTCTGGATTTTACAGGAATGCAATGCAGAGAAGCTAAGACTGGAGAAACATGATCTATTTTACTGGTTCCTGTAAGAACGCGTGCTGCAGCATTCTTGATCAGCTGAACAGTCTTAATGGACTTTTTTGAAGACCCTGATAACAGGGAATTGCAGTAATCCAGCCTAGAAGTAACAAATGCATGGACTAGTTTTTCTGCATAATTTTTGCATAGGCTGTTCCTGATTTTTGCAATATAACGTAGGTGAAAAAAGACAGTTCTTGAAATGTTGTTAATTTGAGAGTTAAACGACGTGTCCTGATCAAAGATAGATCAGGACACGTCGTTTAACTCTCACATTAACCAAATCAACATCAACCATTTACTCCAAGATTTATCACAGTGGTGCTGGAGACCATGGCGATGCCATCCAGGGAAACAATATCTCTAGATAATGCGTCATGGAGATGTTTAGGCCCTAGAACAATAACTTCAATTTTATCTGAGTTTAACATTAAAAGATGACTGGTCACCCAGGTTTTAACATCCTGAAGACACATTTGAAGCTTAGTTAACTGAGTATCATATGCATAACAATGAAAGTTTATGGAGTGTTTCCTGATGATATTTCCTAAATATTACATTATAAAGATTAATAAGAATTTTCCTTCTATTAAGAAGCTGGTGCCCCCTATTCTTGAGGTTTACTTAATGCAAGAGTATAAATGTTACAATAGAAACTGAATATCTTCAAAAGCTCGCACTGTATACTCCCTGAGCTCCCACCACAGAATCTCTGTGAAAAACGAACTGTGGTATTTAACTGGGCCTTGGGTTCCTCAGATTATGTCCAAGCCATGTTAAGCATCTCAATTTAATGTCCTTGATTGTCGTTGATGCTTTGATTGCTTTTCTTGTATGGTTTTGACATTGTCCATGTACAGGGGCATCTTTCTTTCAAAGCTGTATTTCTTGGGAACCTTTTTCAACCAGAATTTAGATGATTAGATAGACAAACTCTCTCCTCATCTAGTCTCAGTTCCAGCTCACCTGTGAAACCCACCTGTCTCTGGATAGAAGAAGTGGGCAGAAGAGGGTGCAGAAGGTGGAGACAGGACAAAACATGCTAGCGATCCAAGCAAGGAAACTTAGAAAAAAAGCTCCAAACAACAACCAAACTCAATTAAAGGCTGCCAATGCTAAGGCTACCAAAGTAAAAACTGCCACAAATGCTAAACAGTCCTAAAAAACATCCACCAAATGAACAGACCTACAGTTATCAAGAATAACAACAAAAACAAGCCAAGTACTCCAGCTGCTATTCCCCCAGCTATGCTTGCTTCTTCTAATCCAAATCCACTGATTGGACCTTACTGCGTCATCTGAAACATACTTCGCTATTTTCAATTCAATTCAATTCAATTTTATTTATATAGCGCGACATCACAACAACAGTTGTCTCACAGCGCTTTCCAAACAGAGCAGGTCAGACCCTACTCTGAAGTTAACTACAGAAACCCAACAATTCCCACCATGAGCAAGCACTAGGCGACACAGGCAAGGAAAAACTTCCTTTTAACAGGCAGAAACCTTGAGCAGAACCATGGCTCAGGGTGGGCGGCCATCTGCCTCGGCCGGTTGGGTGTGAGGGGAAAGAGAGGGCAAGAGAGAGAGAGAGGGCGAGAGAAGGACAGAGGGAGCAAAGAGAAGCAGCCAACACAGCAACACGTAGACTAGATGAAAAATGGCAATGATATTAATGCTAATGATGATGGTAGAAGTTATGACGGCAACAGAGCAGGAACACGGGGGCAGCAGGAAACTCCCAACCACAGATCCAGACTCCACAGCTCTAGGAACACCTGCAGGAAGTGATAGGAGGAGACTCCCAACCACAGATCCAGGCCCCACAGCTCCAGAGCCAGGAATATCTGCAGAAAGTGTTAGGAAGAAAGAGGAGAGAGAAGGGGGACGAGAAAGCACACGACTACGAGGAAAGGAGAGAGTCCAGTTAGTAACATTGTTAATGGAATGAGGTTGCACCGGGAGGGAGAGAGAGAAAGGAAAGGGGAGCTCGGTGCATCATAATGCATCCCCCGGCAGTCTAGGCCTATAGTAGCACAACCAGGGGTGGACTTACTCTAACTATAAGCTCTATCATAAAGGAAAGTCTTAAGCCTACTCTTAAATATACTTAAATAGACTTACATCAAACTCCCTGAACAATGAGACGCCAGACTTTGCAACGAATTCTCTACATCTTACTTCCACTGGACAAATCTTAAATTTGAACCTCTCTGCTCTGCTTCTGCCCCTAATTCTACATACTATTTCCTCTCATACGCTTATTCTACTAAGTTATCCCAGGGAACAGTCAGGTCCATAAAATAGACATATCCTTGTATAAGGGAACAACATGCTTTCCTTTTAGATCAAGCTGCCATGGTTCCTTACTGTCTTTTTTAAACGTTCTCCCCTTCTTGAAAAAAAACTGAATGGCAGTATTACTTGCCTTAGACCCTCCCAAATTAACCTGCCTTTTTTTGTCTTCAATACCTGAAGCTAAGCTTCCTAGTACTTGGTTATGTCTCCACTTATACCAGACAAAATATACCTCAGATTTGCTGTAGAAGAACGTAGCGAACATTGCAGATCTCCATTTACCAGAGTTTTAGGTTCTTGGGGTTGGCAATACATCATATGCTGCCCCTAGTGCAATCTTACTTTCCTCAAAACTCCTAATTTCTTTCCAACTAAGATTATTTTTTCTCAACACCTTTCAAATTCAATCTCTGCTTAGCCTGAGCCACTGTCTTATACTACTTAACATTCCCTTCTACGATTAACCTGTTCCACAACAAACTTTCTCTTCTTTTAGGGACCTGCTCTTCTCCACAGCAGTTTGAGACCAAAGACCCAAGACTCCCTGATCTATTTGGACATTACCCACAATCTCTGTATGCCTATGAATTGCTTCTTCCCACTTGTTGGATTTTTAACCACGTAACTGACTACAGCATCTTTATTCCCAGCCACCAGGAGTTCTGTCCTAGCCTTAGTACATTTAAACCCCTCTACCACATTACTATCTACCAAATTACTTAGAAATTTGGGAACACCTAGCCACATATAAGAACTAACTAACTTTTCCAATTTCCACACAGCAGATTATGGAATTTCATACACAGAGTTGACACATCAACCTTAGAAACAAACCAGACTTGTAGACACCAAATCTACAACAATCCTGGATGCCCTGATTTATCTATTCTATCCCTCAAAAATACCTTTCATAAAGGACCTCTATCATACACCATCCTAAACTCTTAAGTGACTTTCCCCTAATCATTAAAATAATCTCTTACAAACGTTCTAGGATTTATTTCCCCCTACTGATTAAGATGCTTTTAGAATTACTCGGGTTGAATTCCATACCAGCCCACTTTAGATTTGTATTACTGTAAGTCTCTGTGATATTCTCCTCATGCATGGTACTGTTGAAGTCATCAATGTCATATCATCCACTAAAGCCGTAATTGGTGTAAGGCACATTCTGTTCTGACATCTTCTCCACCTAAAACCCACTTAGAAGCTTAATGATTATTTCCATTGCCATTGCAAATATTGATGGAGAAATCGTACACACTGCCATAATGCCTATTTTTAGCTTCTGCCTACCTGTTATGGAACCTGGTATACTTAGGCACACTCTAATATCCTAACATAATATGTTATAAGTTCAGAACTACCACCGGCACTAATTAAACTCCTTCCAAACAAGGCTGTGTGGCACTGAACCAAATGCATTTGCTAAACATGAGAATAACATAAAGTCCTTTTTCTTAATCTTGGCTGTCTCGATCTGAAGCTAAATCATGCTATTGTGCTCTGAACATCCTGTGAAACCTGGAATTCCTGAG